TTTTTTTTCTTTTTTTTTTTTTTAAAAAACTCCAAGTTATGCCCTTCATAAATTGAACTTTCAACCCGACACACATACTCGTAAATGTAAATCTTTGCGAGGCAAATTTAGATCATAAGACGAAGAGTGGCTTATACAGTGAACTAGCTCTCTCGGTGCTTTTGCAGAGAAATGAGAGCTCCTTTCGTCTCCGAAAACTCAACCTTTCAGTGACGTCGTTGTCAGCTTTTATGAATGTTGCTTATCCTCGAGGAGGTTTAGTTTGGAGAAATTGAGTATTCCATCAAAATCTGACAAATTTGGCATCGTGCAGGGAACAGCGATCCTAGATTCCTTCACTCGCGTATACGCTTGTGATAGATTGATTGATCTCCTGTCAAAGAATCTGAGCGCGCAAGTTTCACCTGAAAAACGATTTACCGTACTGAACCGCCCCTCAAGCATGAAAATTCAAATATTATAAATTCCTTTCCGAGCCCAAAATAATTGAATATTCATGATGTGTACCTTTAGCCAAAACTGGATACTTGCTCTCAAGTTATAAGTCGATTCAGTGCTTTGCAAAACCCCTTCCATGTTTCATCCTCCTACATGCTTCCGCATTGAGATGATTTGAGCTTTAATAGAAAATGAGTCTGTTTAAGAGATTTTACAAATTCTTAAGAGAATTATAGGCTTTTTGAGCAGGTCTCCGTGTCAGATCTCTGGTAGAAATTGGAAGTAGGATCATATTCAAAATACTATAGATCTACAGCCGGCTGTAAGATTTCCTATAGCTTCTATAGCCGGCTATACAATTTCTTACAGCCGATTATAGCCGATGGCGATGAAGCTACAGCCAGGAGATAAACTGCATAGCCCGCGATACTCTGGTAAAAATTGGCAGTAGAATCTGTGTTCCAAAATACCATAGACCTACAGCCGGCTGTTAGATTTCCAATAGCTTCTGTAGCCGGCTACACAATTTCTTATAGCCGATGGCGACTAAGCAACAACCAGGTGATGAAGTGTATGCTGAATGTTACTAATTACGGATGCTAGGACTTAGTGAGTTTTTGGACTACTGCTCTCTTTTTGGGCCGTAGTATCTTGATTTATTTTGCGAGGAAAGCTCCGTACTTTTGATGGCTGCCTGCCATTCCTAATATATTAGAGCGCCTTCAGTTTTGTATGATACTGTGCAATACCTCAGGTGTGAAATAGTTGCTTCAAGCGCCGTGGCACGCTGCGGTACGGCAGGCGGGCAGCCAGCGCGGAACGCGCATTGGCGCCTACAAACCTAACAGGGATACTTCACGCGTTGCGCAATGCGTGAAGTATCCCTGTTAGGTTTGTAGGCGGCAGTGCGTCGCCGCTCCGCTTTGTGTTAGGCTCTAATCTGGCGGAGTCAGCGTTATTCATCTCATCATTTTGAAATGTTTGCACATCCTGTATGGATTATTCTCATTTTAATTGATGAAAAAAAAATATGTATTAAAGGGAAATATAATGTGTGTTCTGTAAATATTAAGGTGGTACCGTATCAAACTTAATGATTTCCCAAGCACACGAATTTCTACACAATTTCTTATAGCCTTTTATAATCGATGGCGAAAAAGCAACAGCCAGGCGATAAAGTGTAAAGCCCGGTGATAGGAACTATAGCCCGGCTGCATACTTTTTTATCGCCTTCGTATAGTCCGGCCGTATGATTTCCTCCGCATTCTACAGCCAGCTATATGATTTTCTGTAGCCTTCTTTAGCCGGCTATAAGAATTCATATGGTATTTTAAAACGCAGCTCTTATCGCCAATTTTTACCAGGGTAGGAACCATTGCCCAGCTGCATAATTTTTTATCGCTTCGTATAGTCCGGCTGTATACTTTTCTTCACTTTCCACAGCCAGATATACATTATGATTTTCTATAACCGGCTATAAGAATTCCTCTGGTATTTTTGATCGCAGCTCCAATTGCCAATTTTTACCAGGGATAGAAGCTTATATAAACGGAAAATTTTCATGGTACATGTATCATCAATGCAAAAATTTCATTTCAATGGCTGCAGGGCAAGAGGGTGAATCGAATAAAATTCAATTTTATCGACATCCTAACTGTGTTAATGTTCTTGTCTTTATTTTGTCTGTATTAATGTCTTGATGAAAAACTAATATATGTTATCGCTCAATAAAAACAGGAATTATACTCAGAGCACATACTCAAGAACGTTGTCGACTGAAATGGATAGTGTTGCATTCCTAAAATATCATTATCACGTGCCCAAATGAATAAAGATAAAAATGGTTCTCAGTTACTGTGTGGGGATAAAAATACAGACCTGATTTTGGGAGAGATTTCTGAACTGACCGAATGAGGCAATAGTGTCAACGTCACTGAAGGAGAGGTTATAAAAATCGTTGACGGGGATCCCGGCTGCGACCCAGCCAATCAAACGAAGTTTTTCCTCCGGAATCTCATTAGGCGAGCCAAACATCTGTAATCAATAAAAAATCAATGTATTTTCCTTTATATATAAATAATCCATTTTACCTCAAGAAATGTCCTCAAATCTACGATAATTTTGTTCTAACTTAAAAAAGTATTTTTTAAACCCTTCATTCTATATTTTTGACGTGTCCTCGGTTTTCTAAGTGAGGTTTTAACAAGAAAATATGCACAGTGAACCTCGAATTATTCGAACTCCGGATTATCTGAACTTATTTGTCGAAATATATTCCTCACTTTCACTCGGCGGTCATAAAGAAAAATGACGCATCTCAGACACCCACTACCACCCTACACCGATGAAGATCAATATGAAGACAATGATGATGTACACAAAGTACAATTATTATTGAAGAAACAAAGTTTTGTATAAGTATACTCAATATCTATAAACTAATTTTAAATATAACAAGGTGGAGAAATGGTGCTGGGTCCACACCATTTCGCGGGGAAAACAAATGGTGTGGACCCAACACCATTTCTCCGCCTTGTTACATACACTTCGGGCCACTTCATAGGGTTTTTTTTTCATCTAATTTTGTATATCAAGTACGAAATTAATGTAGTTATTGCATTAAAATGATCGACTTCTCATTCAATTTACGAAAAGTAGCACGGATTATCCGAATTTGCCGTTATCCGAACCGGCCGACAGCCACATTTGTTCGGATAATCAGAGGCTTACTCTGCCCTGCTAAGGAAGAACACATTATGAACACTCAAAAGTTGCCAAATCTCCTTCAGTAAAATGTTCATTTTTTAGGAAAGTGACGAATATTTTCTCCTGCACGTTTCAGGACGTCTGAAGGTTCTTACGGCGTTCTTCCTAAGTAGGCCAGTACTGTAAATTGACCTACTTATTTCTCACACTTCCTGTTGCTCAATTTGTAAAAGGAGAATCTGCAAGTTGACAACGTCGCTGCTGCGTTTTCTTATTCGTTTAAAGAGCTGTTGCGTCGCAGTTAAGTATGACGCAAGTGGAGGTATCCCACCCGAATTTCAAATTTCCGGATTATGCTAAGGCGGAGCGCAGTCGAGCGCTCTCAGAAATTAGATTTCAAAATTGGTAATCTAAAAGGAGTGGGGTTCCGAAGGAATGAGGCCGCAGCCCCCGATGAAAAGAGTATGGAAAGTTGAGAGGACGATGCGAGCTTAACGGAAAGTTGCCTGTGAGGTGCGGCATGCAGGGGAACGATTTGGTGCCTTCTGAATTCGCTTCGTAAGGATGCGTTTTGCCAGCTTGTAAGAGGCAAAAATTATGGGCGAGGGTGTGTTAGGTTGAAGTTACCACTGAACAAAACGATAGGAGATTTGTGTATCTTCGATCGCTGGATCAAAAACGCAAATGGATAGTTGAGGCGTTGGGTGAAGAAACGGCATTTGTTTGAATGCGGTGTTTCAGAATCTCTACTGGTTATTTATATTTTAGTGACGAACCTTTCGGGTAAAATTTCTAAGATTTTTAGTTTTCAGCATTGCAAAATTGTAAAAGATAATATAATCAAAGTTTTGACAAATTCCATGCATTTGCTTTAATTATAGTGGATGGAACGTTAACGGAGATTCTGAGATATCGCAACCAAGAAATCCCTTTCTGCACCCAGCGCCAATTATAAATATATTTATATATTCATAATTAGCGGAATATATTTTCTCGCCAAAGAATCCAAAAAAAAACTAAGTATTTCCGTTTAACGTGCTAAATATCTTCCATTTTTTATTAGGAAATGATCACTTCTTCCTCTCCACCTGCTTCCTCTTCCTCTTTTTCTCCTCCTTTTTCTGCCGCCCTTCTTCTTCTTCTTCTTCTTCTCCTTCTCCTCCTCTGTTCACTAATACGTGCCCATCTGAACTATGGCAGGAGTCCTAACCACTCCAAGACCTTTCTGGAAATGTTTTAAGTATAGGTATGACCCTTTTGCCTTAGTAACTTCGATCAGTCATGGCAAGCTTCGGGTCTAGCAGACACAAATAGGTAAGTCTAGAGTGAATACATCTACACATATGCATGATTTTTAATGAAACTAGATTGGTTGTTGACGTTAAAGAGGTGCCCATGTTTGAGTGATATCACTATTTGCAGACCAGAAGATAAGCGTATACCTGTTCCTGTTATAGCAAGAGTATGGACAGGCGTGTAAACTCCGACGATCCATCAGGCGGCCTTTACCGATGCCTATGCGAATAAAGTTAGGGCCCAAAAGGGCAGCCAACCTATGAATTCAAATTATCCAGGACGATTTATTATTAAAATTGTTACGACTCGTCGTTTGTAAAGCACTATTTGACTTACTTTTTGCATTTATTTACTCGTTCTCAGCCGGAGGAACGCTCATTTATGAACACTCTTGGCCATCTTGGTTTTAGTGTAGGATTGGCTGCTCTTCTGGACCCTAAGCTTTCCTTGAAGCAAGCTGTTCACACTCTTGCTATATAGTTACTCTACTAAAAATCTTAGAGGGTGCTAGGAACACGAATCTTGGCGGCGTTCAAGTCTCGAGGATCACCAATGGCGAGGCGTGAACAATCGACTATCGATATTTCCCCATTTGAAACTAGGGTAAAAAATCAATTATCAAAGTGTTCGTTGCGAACGCCCTCTCTATCTATCAAATTCCATAGGTTAAAATGGCGGATCAACCGATATCTCGCAAAGCATACGCCACGCTACTGAGGATCATCGTCGACGTCAGGGACTCAGGGTCTTGGGTAAATAAACACTCGAGGGCAAGTTCCCGCCGTGACCATGCCAGCTTCTGCATCCACATTTTTCCGCGTATATCCCCTCGATATATATAAGCTCCCTCGATATGCCGATACAAGTATTTCCGCGTCTATTTTTCTAACTTTCCCGCGAGCCGCGCCCCAATTTTTCTCACCTCCGACGTAACTTTAAGAAGAAATTTCTGCGCCCCGATTAATTTTACCTTCCAACCTCGCCACTCAAATCGTCGCCCTGCCGTCCGAAGTGCGTGTTTGAACCCCAAGATGAACCCTCTCGCACGCACAAGACAACGCTTTTCGAGTTCTACGTCAGAATGAAATTGCGCCTTTGCAGCGACGCCGGAGCGAGAAAGTGTTTTCATGTCGGAGGGATCCTAACCAAACTACTTGAGTTCCCCGTTCCACACCTCCTCCTCAGCCCCTACGGTGGTTCGATTGTCGAATCGCTATCGACTGACCTTGATCGATTTATAGCGTTGTCAAGATAGGGATTTATCGATCGAGATAATTCGATAACGATTCGACAGTCAACCTGAGTCGGATCCCACTCAGCCACTTATTCAGCCTCGCGACCCTCGTGTAATCTGGTGCACGTTCGAACGTAGAACAACGCCTCCAGCCGCCGCGGCCCGACCGAATTCCCAATCGTTTTCTCAAAGAATCAACAGGAAATTCTTCTTGATGAGATGATGAGATACCGGAAACGATCGACTCCCACATGAATTTCCAAGGAAGGGAGGTCTCGTAAATAGGCCCTGTGAGATTTATCACGCGCCTCGAGCGGTTTTTAGAACTGAGGAGGGTGTTTCCGACGAAATTTTTTTTTTCGTCGGAAAACTCCGTCGAATCTATTTTCCGGTGTCACACCGAGAGGGGCAATTTAAAATGGATCCAGAATAGCCTCGGGCGATGCATTCTGGACGCAATCGACAAATCATTTATCGGGTTTGTCTACACGGATAAAAGAGTGTAAGGGGTTATCCCTTAAAATTGTGGTACTACCCCAATTTGTTGGATGATACGGACATTTCCAATTCATTTTGGTAGTATCGCAACTCAAGTTGGGGTAGTGCCGCAACATTTAGGTTAGTAACCCAATTTATTGGGATAGTATCACAATTAATTGGGGTAATAACACAATGAATTGGGGTAGTACCACAATTAATTGGAAATGTCCATATCATCCTACAGTTCTGACATAACCCCTACCTCTTTTTCCGTGTAGTGGTTTCGTTCTATATGCAATTTTTTTCTCGAAAAGTAAGTGAGAACGTCCCAAAGACAACGCACAGTATACCGAGTCAACTGGAGAAGTCGAACAAGAAATGGGCCTGTTGCAAACTTTTGCTAGAGCAAAACTAAGAGTTGTTTCTTATAGATAATGCCTCAAAAATCACGATGAGCGCATCGGCAAACTCTGAAATGCACTCATAACTTCACAATCTGCGTAAGAAATTTGCGGTTTTTTGAGCTTCCCGCTTCAAAAACGATACTACGGCACAGGTGAACATTTTGTAAGAGGAGTCGTTCCATCGTCGGCAATAATCATCATAGCCGACGCCAATCCGCCAAAACACGTTTGATGGGACGAGATAACACCTGAACTGGATTAGACCAGATAACAATCGGTGTGTTAACGTTCATATTTTCCACGCCCGAATTGATTGACCTTGAACTCTCCTTGAATTACGCGCGGAACTGCGTGCAAGCGTCGGCCATGATGAATATCGCCGACGATGGAGCGACTCCTCTAACAAAATGTTCACCCATGCCGTAGTATCGTTTTTGAAGTGGGAAGCTTAAAAAAACGCAAATTTCTTACGCAGATTGTGAAGTTATGAGTGCATTTCAGACTTTGCCGATGCGCTCATCGTGATTTTTGAGGCATTATCTACAAGAAACAACTCTTATTTTTGCTCTAGCAAAAGTTTGCAACAGGCCCATTTTGGACTAAATCTGAAAATTTAGTTTTTTATTTCGTTAAATTTTAATTTGTGAGGAGTGATTCCTGAAAAACATTTTACGGAAAAACCAATGAGACCATTTTTAAAACCTCAACATTTTTCAATAACGGAGTGATAAGTTTTTAAAGTTTCCACATATTGTCCGACTTCTTCAATGGACTCCAGAGGCGAGGCGTACTTTGCAATTTATCGATATTTCCCCATTTGGAGCTGTGGTAAATAATCGATTATTAAGGTGTTCGCTGCGAACACCCTGTTTATCGATACTTTTCCATAGGTTTCAATGGCAGATCAATCGATATATCGCAAAGCACGCCACGTCACTGATCGCCTCGTTCCGCTGAGCGCTGCGAGCGCTCCGAAGGAATTGTGGCAAACTGAAACGAAACTCTTGCTCTCCTATTAATCATCAAGCCTTGAAAGAAAGGCTAACCTGCGTGATGATGGTCCAAACTGCTTGTGCTTGGCTGATATCCAACTGATTTTTCCCAAGAATAGCAAGGCAGTCGTCATTTATTTCTTCAGCTTGACTCAGTGTGCTGAGTTCTTTCTGGCTGAATATTTTACCTGATCCAGCTTGCAAAACATCCGTGCAGGTTAGACAGTCAGCTTTCTCCTCTAGTAAAAAAATAAGAACATGGAAAGGATGAAGAATTTGCATGAACATTTTTTATTGCTTCATCTGAAAGTGCTGAAAGGGCTGCTTTCACAGTATATTTTATAATTTTTTTCTGATAAGGGAAATAGTATAAAAATATATTTAAAAATGAGGAAATGCACCGCCTAATGACGTCATTTGGCGGCATTTTCCATTTGAACACATGTATTTTAGCAGATTAGATCATTTTGTCATATCTTCTCTAATAATTGTTCAATTCATGAACCAAGGGTATCCTCGTGTTCAGTTCAGTCAGTAGACACCTGCAAATTCTCCATTTGGTTGGTTTATCTAAGAAATAGAGTTAGTCCTTGAAGCACCACTACAAATAAGACAAACGGAAACGAACTGATGACGGCGCAGAGATACAACTATTCGTGCTCGATGGATGTGCGTGTTGCATCTGCAAAATTGAAGGCGCGAAGGTGTGAGGCGTGACCGTGCCATGCACCGCTCTTCGCTACCAATATAGTGTCGCGTCACTGTAAAAATTGGGCAATTTAATTTTTTATATTATGAAAATGGATGTGCAGACTTCCGTGCAAACAACTTTTTTGTATAGTACGAAGCAAATTCCTTAAAATTGTCAAAGGAATCCGCACAAAATTTCTCTTGTAAAAAATTGAATTGCTCAGTTAAAGGCAACAGCTAATGCTAGGCTTGGTTTCTTTCTGCTGAACTCGATCCAATATTGTGCTATCATGTTAAACTTATTATCGCCAGGTGCCGGGTGGTGGGGGGAGGGGGCATTTATGCATGAAAAATGCATAGATGTAAAATTTTTAACTTGTATGTACATTTCGCCTACAATACAGTATTGGGAAATATGTATGCATTTTGCCAGAAGATATGAGGGCCGCAAGCTGCACCGTAGTCCGCACTCTCCTGACTTGAGTCTTCAAAAATTTCAGCCCGATGTTGACACCAAACGGCGCGCCAACCATTTTTTCCAATCTTTTTGTAAATAGGTACAAAGAAAAGGTAGGAGGCTGAAAGACGGGAAACTAATTTCAAACTCCCCCTCGAAAAGGTAAAAAGTTCGAATTTCATCAAAGGGTTTTTTCTCTCTTTTCGCACAGAGTATTTAAATGAGTTGATACTTAATGAAGAAACTGCAAGAGGCACGTATTTAATTTTACATCTCTCCTACTAGTTCATTTCAATGCAAATGATAGAATTATACCGCTCATTCCGCTGTTCCCTCTTCAAATAATTATAATATTTTCAACAGCACGAAAAAAAGTGAGGCAGAGATTTCGCCTCCGCGGGTGGGAAACTGCCGGTCACCCACTGATACTAACTTTCTCTGAACTTGCGTGAGAAATTAGAAAAAGTAAACTTGTCCTCTCGGAGGTTTAACTTGAGAATGAGAGGGGTAGGTATATTTTCCTGAGAGGATTCAGTTCCAATTCATGAAAACTGTCCAGGAAACAAGAACAAGGTCGAAAAATCGATTTTACATAAGATTGTGATCCAAGGAACACGTAAGAGTTTTACACTTTAACCCTCTATGACATGGTGTTACTTATTCGTGACAACGTATTTTTTTGGGGTATTTAGTAGTTGAACCTTTCCCATGTGGCATAGTTTTGCAAATATTCAAGAAATTCCCAGAAAAATTGAAATTTTGAAGAAAAAAGTATTTTGGTATTCTATTTTTTATGCGAATCACAAATAAGATTAGTGTCCCCCGGAATCCAAGATCCAAAATTAAGTCATGCTATTGAGGGTTAACTCGAGACACATATAATTNCAGGTGTTATCTCGTCCCATCATACGTGTTTCGGTGGACTGGCGTCGGCCATGATGAATATTGCCGACGATAGAGCGACTCCTCTTACAAAATGTTCATCTGTGCCGTAGTATCGTTTTTGAAGCGGGAAGCTTAAAAAAACGCAAATTTCTTACGCAGATTGTGAAGTTATGAGTGCATTTCAGACTTTGCCGATGCGCTCATCGTGATTTTTGAGGCATTATCTATAAGAAACAACTCTTAGTTTTGCTCTAGCAAAAGTTTGCAACAGGCCCATTGTATGATTTTTTTCCGAAAAACTATTCACTCGTCGGTTGATATGCCGCGAGAACGAAATTCGGTAAGTATCGTTCATGGAGTGAAATTATCTTCACTGAATTTCTTTTCACCTTGATGTGATCAGGGCTGGCTGAGAAACGGGGATAATTTTTGCGCAAGGGAGGCTTAATTTTCCAGGTACTCGGCTCTCCTTTTCATGGCTTTCGCGGAATAATTCCTGAGGTGAGAGAATACCCTCTGCTTGCTTCGTTTTGAAATTAAATATTTATCTCTAATTAATTACACTCACTCTCGTGGAAACAAGGTTTCCAGGTTGAACGATAAAATTTAGATATTTTATATGGGTTTAAATGAGGAAATGTGCTGATTTTGCAGCACTATCTGGCAAAAATGCGTGGAAAAAGGACCGAGGGGTCATTAAATGTGAATCAAATTTAATTTCACCTTTTGTTCTGGGCTGTGGAAGGATAAAGAGGGGGAGGGGGACTTTTTTTTACGCGCGTTTAAATTTTCCACGCTTAGCAACGCCATTAATTCCATCACCTTGAATAATTACCCTTGAACATTGATCGAATATCTTTTCGGGTTAAAAATGAGCTTGCTTTTAATGAAATCATTTTTGAGCGATTCGTCTGATTAATTTTTTCCACGGCATCTCTTTAACGGAAGGGAATATTCTGAGTTTAAGAGAGCCAAACGTTTCAGCTGTAATTATAGTATTAACAAAAACGAAAAAATGAACAACGGAACAAGAGAAAAAAGTTAATGAGGAAAATGCAGGACACTTTACAAACACATATTTTTAAAGAAATCGTTAATTTTTTTATATCTAAATAATTACTAAAAAATATATTTATCGTGTGAATTGTGAATGACGGTACATTTTTGTACTTAAAACGGCCCACTTTTAAGACCTTAGTACAAGGTAGATTTACACAGGTATGGACAAGTTGGAAATTTCCCATGAGCCTCAGTACGTGTCACACGACTTTGTGACGTAGGTTAAGGGGCCAGTTTGACCGCTCTATTCTCAAATTTATTGAATAATTGCTCCATTTAAACATCAAAACGCCGGCCAGGTTGGCCTAGTGGTCAGCGCGTCTGACTCTAGGTCAATAGGTCCCGGGTTCGAATCCCGGTGGTGGCGTCTAATTTTCACGGAATTGACGAGTAGATCTGCTGAAACAGATTCTCCTCGGCCCTAATCCCTGAAAATTAGAAAAGCCTGGAGCATGGAGCCTGATGTCTACGGACACTAAACAGTGTCTAAAGTTGGCTGAAGGTGCAATAGACACAAAGCCATTAAACCAGCAGAAAAAAAAAAAAAACAAGCAGTGAACTCCAACACAATGTGTTGATAAGGCGCGTCATTAACTCGCACATATCAACCCCTTTAGTTTTCATTTACAGAGATTTCAAAATAGGCAAACAGCATAAAAAGAGAATTCACGATCCAACACTGCGAGGTCAAAGACGCACCTTGACGAGACCGTGTATTGTGAAAGTAGAAAGCTATTCGATCGAATTTAAGTTTTTTGATCTGCCTCAAGCAAAATCTTATCAGATTCTTGAAGAAAAGTGCTACGGAATAATTTAAGCGAAGAAAGGAAAAATTCTGTCGAACTCCTAGAAGATAAAGTCGATTTAAAGGTATTTTGGGGCTAAAATACCCAAATCACCGGTAGTAAAAATCCCGTTATATTATTGAAAAGAAATTGACTCGATATAAATGCAATTGCATTAAATACGTCTTGATTTTGTTATTTTAAACGTCTTTCCATGCAAAGAAGTTCAACCATGTCGTTGCTTTATTCATTCATGAATTGAAAGTAAGCAATCTACATCCCGAAAATCTACTGATTTGCCGTAAAAAATTGCAGAAACTTGATATACCAGGTCGATGCACCCACTCGTTGAATTTACCAACCAATTTTGTGAGTGCAAATGTGTAAGAATCAATATGCTATAGTCATTTTGGGTGCATTTATTTTTCATGAAACAATAATAATTTCAATCCCGAAAAACCATCAATTTTCCGTATAAAATCGAAAAAATCAAAATATGTCAACTCCCCGACGTGAAAATTAGATTCTACGTATGTAAAATGTAAATACTTATGTATCGATATGCTGAACAGAACTATGTGTGGACAGTCAGAAGCCCGCGGCAACATTAATTCAACAGAAAAACTGTAAAAATTAGATAGGATTTTAGCCGCTTTGCCCGCCTCTCCTCGCTACTTACAACAAACCGTTCTTATACTCATCTCAAAATTTTTCTCAGAGCTTTGGGTTATTATCAGCTTCCATTTAAACTCCGGTTCGATGGCCGAATCGGCTGCCAAAAAAGCAAGCCACTGTTGAGGGGTTCTATGAGAAATTCGTGATATTATCGGCTCTCAGGAAATCACCCCATGGCTAAAATTGGTGGTATAAATGTTTAAGTGCTTAAAATAATCGTATTCAAGAAACTAAGGAATTAAACTATGGAGTCAATTTCTTTTTAATAATATAACGAATTTACTACCGGTGATTTAGCTATTATAGCCCCAGAATACTTTTAAAGCGCCTTTGCGTTCCAGAATCTCGACGGAATTTTTTTTTTTTTTTTTTTTGCTTAAACGATTCAAGAAACATTGTAGTTAAAAATATAAAGATTTTTCGATTTGGACGTATGAAAAATGTTTAACTCGTTCAGGCACACCGTGTATTGTATGGAGTACTGCTGTTATTCGACCGTTGTCTTCAGGTCAAAATTCTTACAAAGAAGCCCCTTGCAAGAGGCAAATTTTTTGTAATTTCTCCCAGTTTTTTCAGCGTTAGGTATATAAATGAATTGTTTGTCAAATTTTGAGGTCAATTATATTTAATTGTAATTTATACTTTCTTTTTTTCCCCTTCATTTTATTTTTCGTATCGAGGAGTCGAGGTTTTGTTGATTTCTTCGGATTTCGATTACTGTAACTTCTCTTCTATTCGGCCGATTTTTATGAATGAGGTCTCTTTTTATTTGTGTTTTAACGGAGAGTAAGGAAAAAATTGCTAAATACATGCGAAACAATTTTTTTTGAAAATTGGATGAATCCTAGCGTGACGGTGAAATGGTTAATGAAGCGTGAGTAATTGGGGTACGGGTATCGGCCGCGTTGGGACCCAAGGCCCATTGTTCTTCGTGACGCCGACGCAGTGATCAGGAGCGTGGGGACGAGAGGGCTTAGTGGACTCCTGTATGAGCCACGTTTAGCAAATGGTCTAATGAGTCTCGAGGCTCATCACAGATTGCACTTACCACTATCCTGGTGGCCCCGGCTATCAGAGCAAGGAGTACCAACTTTTGAAAAGGATAACAGTGTTGTGGAGATATGTCAAAGCAACGTTGTGAACAAAACGGAGTGAGTGAAATTCTCATTCAAGGAGTGCCGAACTGGTCAGCCATCCTCGAATCAGTTCGCTTGCTTCCGCTTATATATGCATATTTTAAATCAGCGCGCCCCATTCTAAGGTTTTTTTAAAAAAAACCAAGAAACGTAGACTCTTGGTATTCATTACACATAAACTAGCGAGCCCCAGAATGAGAAACAAATTTTAATCATTATTATTGACGGATTAGTAAACTTTTTACACGCTTTGGAAAATCTCAGAAGTTCGCGGTAGTCACTTTTCGGTAAGGAACTAGGGGACTCGGTTATTGTATCGAGGGGGGGGTCGAAACGATCGCAAAGGCGGTATACTACGTATACGCGCCAAAAAAAAACCATCAAAACACTATCACGCATTAACAGATGTAGGTAATATGATCCTCGGAAACAATTAAATTATCTCCAAACCTTAAATAACGAATTATTTCCAAATTGGAGAAACATAACCAATAAATCACCAACCAATCACAATAATGAAAGCATAAAAATGGCGGTCGTTAAGGGGCCACTAGAGAGCCAATCACAGGCCGGATTTTCAACTTTTCCATACCTGTGTTAATCTACCTTGACCTTAGTACGTAAAAAAGTTTTGAGGCCAATTTTTATACAGGTAAAGCTACCTTAGTTCACCAACACTCAAAATTGAGTAACTGATATTAAAGTAAAGAAGATCGTTCCACGAACATTCTAAGACAGAAAACGCCTGAAAATTTCATCTCAGAGTTTCCTGGTCCATTTGAAATTTAAAGTTAAAAAACGTAATTATGAGGGCAAAGTATCTCAGTTTCTGATCTACATATATCTTCACGGTACAAAATTACCGGATTACGAGTATAATGTAACTTTTCATCCTTTTACTCGTATAAATAGTCTAGTTTTTGTCCAGCCGAAAAAAGGCCTTTTGAATGTTCTAAAAGTAGGATTATTCTTAGGAGGGAGAAAATATCTCCTTGACGTTACTCTTCGAAACCACAATGCGCAATACCACTATTTCGAAGCTTGAGTAACCTTAATTGCATAGCCGCCTGAATGAAGGGGCTCTCAGTTCCTTTACCAGTATTAGAATTTGAGAGCTATTTATAGGTGATGCCTAAAAATTAGGCTCTCCCACCAAGTGACTTCAATTTTTTTGATATGGAGGTAGAACGGTGCAGTGCACCACACACCGAACCAAAATTTTGCCAGTGTAAAATAGTGAAATCTGCATACGCATCCTTTCAATTTCAGAGGAAAACTATTATGATGAGTAAATGGCGAGATATTGTTTAAACTCACGAAAGGTGATCGTTAGGATTAAACCCAGCATGTATGGACACATACTGTACGAATGTGAAAAAGTCAAGCGTAGAAGTAGCTATTTTCAGTAGGGATCCTCACTGAATGCAGAGTCGATGTTAACCTGCGACAAATTTTGCAACCCTTGACAAGACACTCTGAATTCGCACTTCCGGAAAATAAATCAACACACAAAAAAGGAAATTTTTTTAAAGTTGCAAGTAAATATTAAACTGTTATGATGAGTCACTTTGAAAAGGATAACACTGAACGGGTTCATCATCGTAGTTGTCTTGTATGTCTTTGGATGTTGTCCCTCACACGTAACTTTTAAACTGTAGAGCCAATTTGGGTGGCTTTCTTAGGTAAAGACTTTACTTTTGTGGGTCGGTAAGGGGTTAGATTCGTGAGGGTTCGTGACTAAAGAGTTACTGTTGTCTGAGCTCATGACCCACAGCTCTACTGCCGTGCTAAGGAAGAACGCCGTATGAACATTCGAGAGTTGCCACATTCCCTTCGCTAAAATGTTCATTTTTTAAGAAAGTTAAGAATATTTTTCCGTTAAATTTTCAGAATCTTTAGGTAAAATTGCGAACTACATTATCTGAAAAATTGGGAGAAAAATATTCATAAGTATACCAGGAAATTTGAGTTTTATCAAAGGAAATTTGGCAACGCCTGAAGGTTCATACGGCGTTTTTCCTATGCACGGCAGTCTATGAATATATAGTGAATTTAAATGAGCAATCGGAGTTCCCTCCATTCAGTGCGCGATGGTCGAGTGAGCACTAATGAAATCCCATATTATTAAGGAGGGTATCACATCCAGTCATTCATTTGCGGATTGAGGATTCAAATTAAGAGATCGCTAGCCGTTCGCAGTCGAAACCCAAACTGTTTGATTGCTTTTTCGAGTTTCAAATGTACTTTACCCCTTTTGAATATATATCGACGGTGACTCCCAGACCGCATATCCTGGTTTGCAACGTTGCAGACTTCCTCTGCCGTGCCAAGGAAGAACGCCGTATGTACATTCGAGAGTTGCCAAATTTTCCTTGATATAACGTGTATTTTGGACGGCATTCATGCACACTTTTCTTTGAAATTGTCATATATTTTAGAGTAAATTGCGTACAAAATTGTCTGAAAATGTTGGAAAAAAATGTTCACATTTATCCCAGTAAATTCGGATTTCATCGAGGGAAACTTGGCAACGTTTGAAGGCTTACACGGCGATCTTCCTTAGCACGGCAGTCCTGACACACCATATTTTTTGGGTGGAGAACTAGTACTACTGACGTCAATCCTTGAAATCCGCTGTGATTTTTCCTCACTGAGCGTAACAAATTCTGAAAAAAAAATTACTCACGAGCATTCTGGCCTTTGTTTTCCAAGTTTATCGCAGAGAGGTCCCCCCCCCCATACATACATACATACATACATGACTTCTTCAGGCATATCAGGAATTTTCTTTGGTACATTTTATACTGGCGACTTCAACGTTAATTCTGAAAAAACTTTACGGAATAATGTTGATTTGTTCTCCCTTAGTAAAATAAAATAGGAGCGGAGGTTTTCAAACATCTCAAGCGAGATACTTAGTTCAGGAGTTTCAACGTCGAAATGTAAAACTACTTAACGCCAACTCTTGAAACGTTCAGCGGATTTTCCACTCTGTATGAAGAATATTCCGCGAAAATTTCAAGTAATAATGTTGGATCACTTTTCTTCAAAAAATTAAAACTAGAGAGGAGATTTCAAAACTCTGGAAATGAGGTACGGAGTTTAGGAGTATCCGTCGATGCATCATCTGCGTACAAAAATTTTTGAGAGGGTGGATTGTGGAAAAGTGCCTTCATTGTGCCGTGTAGGCAGGAAAAAGTCCGCTGAACACGGATAGCTATCGCCTCGAGGAACGTTTCTTGTAGAGTGAGGCAGTTCGTCCCCTCTTCTCTCCAAGAACTGATGCCATTATAAGTGTGACGTATTCTGGAAATATCGCCCTTAATTTTGTACAATTCCTTAGGAGTTTTTAAAAAATGATGAAACAGTTTTGAGGGTCAAAATAATCCTCCTCCAAATTTTGCCGCACGGTTGGTGAATTTTGACGATATTCGCGTTACTGCAGTTTCATTGTCGATACAATTATCTCTCTCTACGACGAGAATTCAAGGGATTGGTTGATTTCCTCACTATCGAGAGATTCCCGTCATAATTATAGTTGATCAGAAAAAGACGACTGAACTCCGACATCAATCATTCATTAAACTAAGGCACTAATCGGGGTGCAAAATCTCTACGATCCCTCGATCCCCAGGATTGCAGGCTCGGGGTGTGCACTGGTCGGAAATGGTGTACATAGCAGTACTGCCGTGCTAAGGAAGAACGCCGTATGAACCTTCATAAGTTGCCAAATTTCCTTCGACAAATCACGAATTTTCAGAAAAATTTGTAAATATTTATCTTTCAATTTTTCAGAGAATTTTGTTGCTAATTTTATCTAAAAGTTCTGAAAATTTCAAGGAAAGATATTCAAAACTTTCTTTAAAAATAAATATTTTCTGAGAGGAAATTTGCCAACATGCGAATGCTCATACGGCGTTTTTCCTTAGCACGGCAGAGTAGGTTCGGCACCGAGAAATTAAGAATTTTCCACGATTAAAACGCGCAGCATAGAGAACGCGTAATGCGTGAAGTATTCCTATAGTCTTGTAGGCGCTATTATGCGGTCCGCGCCGACCGCACCTCATTCGTCACGATTGGTTTAACCCACGGAGTTAGCGTTTTTCAACTTGTCTTTACCATTAAGTTTTTGCACACTCAGTGTGGATTACTGTCATTTTAAATGATAGAAAATTACATAACACCATTTTTCTTCCAAATGTTCCAATCAATTTTCCAAACAAATTCTTCTATTTATATACAGGTATGTTAAAACCATGCCCGTATCTCTTGGGCAACTGTCCTGATTTTTCAGCCATTGGAGACCCGTAAGAAACGGCATTAGTTTGTGTTTACATACGCTCTTGAATAGGCAGATTCCTAGGTATGAACTTGCACTTTGACCCATGATGAGCCAGGTCGCTGGCCGCTCACTTCAGAGAGAGTTGCTCCGTTGTCACGCTCGTTACGTTGAGAGAAAAATACATGATTAATATAGGATATATGTATTGTAATACATGTATTTAATTCAAGGGACTGAGACTGGCCGATTTTACCGCTAGAGGTTCTCGCTACAGAGAGACCACTGTATTTAACACGGACATTCGATGTGCATAAATAATCGCGTCCTAACACGTCAAAGGAGCGAGGTGATAAAAGTTCCCTCTATTATTTCAAGTTTAGGAAAAGCTTGGATGATAAATGAGATAGTAAAAAAAGGAGAGCCGATGAACAAATAAAAACGTTTATTAAAATACTCTGTAAAAATTATCAGAGGTGAATCAGTGATTAACAGACACAGCATAGATGACATGTATAAAGAAAGCGTGAATCTTCCGAGAGAAAGCAGGTCTTACATTACATTTCTGTCAATTTAAACGAGACTAGCTGGCGACATCCAAATAATCTGATGTATAAATTAAATATCAAACTACTTAACTAAAACTCCGATCACGATTTTTTTTTGTATTTATTTACCTAATCTGATCTGAAATTTTGATTTCCTTTTCTTCTCATTTTGTTAGAATGCTTTCTCCGGGAGTCACAAACATTATAAAAACCGCTCATCTGCTACATTTCCGAGGTAAAGAACATTGATTGATATAAATAAATTAATACAGATAGAAGGCTATTTTATAGCCTGTCAAGTAAAATAGCACCAATTTATTTCAACTTGTCATGAATTTCCTTACCTCAAACCTGTTCCAGTATTGAATAAAAATAATACAAAATAGTATCACCTTAAAATTTTACCAAATCCATCGTAACGTTGAAGATTGGACCAAAGAAAACTTGACCTTAACCATGATCAACTTTGAGCAAATGAAAACAAAATGGAGGTTTAATGTCGTTCAAACTTAAATGTAGAAAAACGAAAAGAGAGTATATGGGCAATGATAATACGATTCGGTGATATTATCGTATGTATTACCTCTAACTCATTGAATGATTATCTATGAGTAAGCTATCCATAAGTAAGGATTTTTTATATAAACTTCCTGAGGGCACAAAGCCCCTTTGATTTGTTTTTCTCATGTAGGACTTTTAAGTACAGAAAAAATCATCCTCCTCGGCCAGTGAGTTTTTTGCTCCCAAATGTGACAGTGCTGTTTTATTTATTATGTTATATTGTAATCCTTCGTTGAATCTGCAATTCTACATTACATAAACATTCAAGCGGATGGCGAATGCTCATTAATTAGACTTTTATTCCTCCATTTTTTTCAAGAATTTGTCTCATAATGACTAAAAATTCTGTTTTGCCTTCACTGAGAGAGAAAATCATAATGTCACGAATCAAGTTCAAATTCCGTTCTTAAAATTTACTCTTAAATTTATCGTAAAAAGTGATATCCGTGTTTGCTTAACATAAACTTATTGACTAATCACGTAAAACTACGACTACCGTTTAGAAAAATATTTTTCTGGTCGATTTTTCAAGATTAGGAAAGATTTAGGAGGATGAGAATCCAGGAGTCTTCACTAAGCGACGTATAGCTCAAATACGTCTTCTTCGTATGTGCAGTATCACCTTTATGATGATACTGGTTTGGTAATAAGAAGGTAACAAAATAAATTTTATTTCTATCGTATTTTGCCACGTTGTGCCCCCTTTTCACGATGATTAAAAATTAAATGTTATTCATATCTGAAAAAACACTTTTTGTATTAAATGTTTAGTATAGTAACCTATTTGCTCCATACACTAGAGCGCGCATCAGTATATTACTATTTCAAAGAACAGAGTTTCCACCATTTTCGAGACGAGAGATAATTATATTCTCGAATCAGAAGAATCATTAATTTTTTAAAAAAATCGTCATAAATGTAACTTCCTCGGGAGTAAAGAACTAAATGTTACACCCTGAGTATTCTCGTTAAAACTGTGTAACTGTGAATCATGGTTGACAGAATTCCATTTTAAATGTAAAAAAGTATCCGATCCTATTTTTCGCTCTCATTTTCCGTAAAAATTGTCTTCTAAACGAAAATTTTAGCTAATTTTGTACGTACGCAACGTTACTTACACATTCGGGATGTTAACTGTATGTTCTTTCCCATTAGATGGTTAATGTGAATCAAATTATTCATACGCGTTTCAATCAAATGCACTGTTTCGCCTTGATCTGATCATTGGATCTACATATAGGTCGTCGAATGAGCCAGTAAATGATTCAGCTGAGAAGTAAGAATTCGACCCAAACGACTTATTTATGCGTCACATTTCTAAAATGAACGGTTAGAATTCCTCTTGGAGGGATGGAGGGCCTTTCGGGTGAGCAATTGTAGCGCACCTGCAGTCCGCAGTGGACCTCGGATCTATGGAGGACATCAAGTAGAGAGTATCTGTTTACAGCGGGACTTTTAAAAAACAACTTATGGTCCTCGACAGTACCATAGTAGGTCCGCGTTTTTTCAATACGTTTCTTTGTTCCTGTTGTCTGTTCACTTGTCGAGTTTGACAATGAGCGCCTCGCCAGGGAAAACGGTCAAAGAGTGGAACTGAAGGTACTGGCCATCCAGGTAGTGACTTATACCTCCGAGCACGTAGCCACCGAAGTATATAGACGAGAGGTCCCTTGTCTGAGGCTGCTCTCTCAGATTCGTGATGAGGGCCACTGAATGCCTTCTAGGATAAGTCCGCTCCACGGTTAGTAAGTATTCGTCTGAATACCTAAGCAAAAGCAAGGTGGAATGATTAAAAAACAAGGTAAATTACGAAAAAATTATGCAAGAAAATTTGATTCACCGAAAAAAAAGTCAAGTTGATTTTACATTCTGGATGTGAAAAGAGTGTGCGAGACCTTTTAAAATGCTGATCATCCGCCACAGCATTTAGTTTTACATCTTGGCATTGCTAAAGTAACTGCTGAAACGGGTAATTCAGAACTTTATAAACTCTTGCACACTTTTTATTTTGCATTATTTTTTATTTTTTTAATTTTTTTTTTGAATTTCACAGTTTTTATCCATTTTTACCCTTAATTTCGAAGTATACCTGGAGGTTTGAACTATTTAAATGCGGCATGTGAGTGGTATTTATCGAGAGGGAATGCGGTCACCTGGACCCCCGCGGGCTGATTATTGAAATTGATAGACAAAGCGACAGAAAAAGAAGACATAAGGAGTACGGAGCAATCCTATTGGTGAAAGCGGGTGGTTGCAATGGACAAAATAGGTAGACAAAGTAGGTAGATGATAGACTAACTGGATTACATTTTGCAAAAAGGAATCACTAGCATTGCAATGTTGCTAAGATTGTGCAACTTCTTTTGTCTTGGAGGAAAAACCCGATTATCCCTTAATAGTTTCTATTTTACTCGCTAAAAACTGTAAATTTAAGACAAAAATTACCATCTAAATTTCATGTTTTCACAATTTCCGCAATTTTATTGCAAAAGATGAAGTTGCACAATCTTAGCATCATTGCAATGCTAGTGGTTCCTTTTTGCAAAATGCAATCCAACTAACGGCAACCCACGAGAGATCTTGTAGTTAGTCCATCATTCTCCCCCTTGGTCTATGACAACCACCTATATCAGCCAATAGAATTGCTCCATGTTCTCTATGTCTTTGGAGAAGTTAGACGGTGACACGGTTGAGTTTTTACCTGTCAACAGCGCAGTTGAGGAAGATTTCGTGGTTCTTGACGGTGCCGCGCGTGTACATGGCTGGCGTTTTGTCCCGGACTTCGAGGATGTTGGAGATGGTGTTGACGCGGCTGATCATGAGCGCCTGGCCCTTCGGAATCCACGAATAGTCGTGCGCCCCCGAAAAGCTCGTATCATTTCCCCAATGCATCGGTGGCACCTGGTGAAGGTGATGCACATCCAAAAACTGCCAAGCAAAATAAAAATCAAATTCAGAAATTTCAAATATATTTTACTCGATAGGTAGGCACTTTACGTTTCCTATGTACAGTTAACTCCTCCTCTGATCAAAACTGCTATAGCAAAAATCTCACATTTGCGATGAAATTAGTCGGTTCCTGAAATAAACGTTCTATCTGTTAAATGCTCGTTATTAGAACGTAACGGTCGAAATGATTTTGACAAAACAATCAACGTGGTCAAGTTACTTCATAATCAAAAAAAGAAAAATAGAAAAAGTCCGATTTGACTAACATCAAGAAAACATCAGCCCAGGTGCAGTAATGCACAGAAAAATCAATGTGCAGAGAGTAATTTATGCATCCGCATCAGAATTAAAGTCATTGTAGCCGTTTTCAGCAAAAATAATACTCTTCTGATAATTTCAATCAGCTGATGTCGCAAATTCGAAGTATCGCGTGCAAATTCCCACCCGCCTGCGCTCGCAGCCATGCATAGCGCCTTCAACAACGAAGAAATACTGCAAACGCTACACCATTTGACCAGTGTACGCAAATTGCCTACACTGCGCCTGCCGGTGTGTACACTGTGTTTTAAGGTGCTCATCGTACACCCGCGATTCACGGATCAGCTTAGTGATCGAGCACGCCTGGTCTTAAAGTGGTTAATCACCCGCTGAAACTGTAAGTAGGTGTCAATAAAAGTCATGGTAGATGTAAAATGGGATTGATAAGATTCTGCATATGCTAAAATTTTGTAATAATTTTATGCTGCCATGAAATATGAACGAAGAATAAGACGTACCCTCTCTGATGCGAACGAATTTCTTCGAAATCGGTCTCTTGCCTTTCGAAGGTAATTGGAAGTGAACTTCAAACACGCAATGTTTACAAATAATATGAAATTTCATATGTATTGCCCCAGTCAAAGCATGATACAGGATGACGGTTTATCATTCAAATAACTAATTGTGCTTTTATGTATGTTTTATGCCTATTCCGAGAAATGAAGGGCGAACTTCAGGTGACAAGAATCATTAACAACTTCGTAGCCGGTAAAACACACGATAGCGAAGATGCAGGTCGGAGGAAGTTCCCAAGCCAATTATAGAAATCTCTTTGCGATAGCAGACACCGATTTGCTCTTGAAAGTCTCGTTTCCTGCCGCTTTCCCGTCTCTCTTTGAAAGACGTTCATTGCGCACAAATTATACCGAAAGGTGCAGCCGGGCAGTCTTCTACATCAAATTAAGGTCCTTACTTAGCTCTCTCAGACTTTACTTTCTGGCTCTAAATATCTCTCTACGCTTTGTTTAATGCCTTAACCTACACCACCTCCAGTCTTCCTACATGCTCTCTAATCATTGGCTGTCTTCATTTAAAGTCTTCTATTTTATCACACTCTTTTGGGCCTGATCTGCTGTCTTAATGTCCTCATGTTTTTCTGCTGTAGAATCTTAAATTTGTCTTAATATCCCTGCCAATTTATTGTCATTTTCGCATGTAATTTTCATTTTGTATACTCTTTGTAAACTCTTTTGTAAAAAAAAAAAAAAAAAAAAAAATTGCGCACAAATATCTGTCAGAGCGAAAACGGCTGGTCGATTGACATTCGAATTTCATAAAAATTTGAGAGCCGTGGCACCGACGCAACGGGGGAGGGGAGGTTTTCGGACAAAAATTAGAGATAAAAAAAGTCTTATTCTGGTACAGCAGCAGTCTAGCAGTTCAACCCTGGGAAAATTTGCACATACATTAGGAGTTGCAGACCTGAATTGAACGATACGAAAAATCGGAAATTTCTGTGAAATACTCCATTAAATTTCACAAAGTTGTGAAAAATATGAAACATATTTTTAGGAGCTGATTATGCAACACGCACGAAAAAAATCCCATTAAGCAAAAACCTTTCATTTAATTCTGCATTCAACTTAAAAAAATAGTTTAAAATACCTCTCACATTTTTCTTAAATTCCATGAAATATCTCACAAAAATTCCAAGACTTTATTTTTCAAACTAATTGCAGTAGACGCACGAGTCATTTAGACAGAAAAAGTTGGTGACGTAGCCAAAGTGCGTTAGAAATCAGCATAAAGCTGAAAATCACAATGCAGAGGGAAAAAGCTCATACGAGCACAATTTTTCCTCATAGAGATATGTGCTTTCCTAAATGGTCGTAAACTAGTGTTGCACCGAACGGCACATCCCTTCGAGGGAAAATTGTGCTCATATGAGCTTTTTCTCTCTGTATTAATATTTCCAGCTTTATGCACTGAAAAAAAAAGATTGGTAGAATTTACCATTCCTTCACGCTGTATTTCACACAGCGTGAAGGAATGGTAAATTCTACCAATCTTCAAGTTGATTCTGCCAGAGGAATGGTTACCTGTACCAGTATATAGTAACGTTTACCTTTCTTCTGGCAGAATTGACTCTAAATTCGTCACTTCCCATACGAAGGAACGTAACTCAATTCCAAGGTTGCAAAGTCGACTCAAACAATTCGATTTCATACAAGAATGTACCAGTGCAATTTTCGTCCAGAATTTTTCTGATTTTTGCAAGAGATCAGAGGAAAAATCAGTGAAATTTGCAGTTAGAAATACCCACTATTCTCCAGGTGAAAGTGCAATTTGTGAGGGGAAATTTGGCAATATTGCAATGTAGTTACGTTTATTAGTGAGGGAGACGACGAATTGACGCTGTGTGAAATACAGCGTGAAGGAATGGTAAATTCTACCAATCTTCTTCTTCAGTGTGCTGATTTTTAACGAACGTTGGCTACGTCACTAACTTTTTCCATTATATTTTCCACGAAAAATTGGAAGCCTGCCTGACCTCTTTCTTGTGGTCGACGATGTTGGTGAGGCCGATCTCGTCGCCGTAGAAGATGGAGGGCGTGCCGGGGAGCATGAGGTTGATGAAGAGGGCGGCCAGGGACGCGTTGAGGGCCTCGACCCGGGTGGCGATCCGCGACGTCTCGACGTTGCCCACGTTCCAGTGGACCCACGGGTAGTCCATCCGGCTGAACGTCACGCCGCGCAGCACGCCGTTGATCTGCGCCCGCAAGCCCACCGGCTCCGTCACGTTGAGGAAGACGTCGACCAGGTCGAAGGAGCGCAGCACCGTCGCCAGCCGGTCGTCCTCCAGCGGGTATTCGTGCATGAGTTTCGTCAGAACCGTGTTTGAGCACATCATGATCTTCGGCCGGTAGAACGTGGAGTAGTACCTGCGACAATACCGAGAGGACTCTTGTCAAAGTTAGCAGCTTTGTTAACAGTCCAGTTACACGATCAAATGGAGCCATCAAATCGGGCATCTCATTGGTCGTATCCTCACCTCAGGTCTTTTTCCACCAATCTGAGCTTCAGTTTGATGGCTCAATTTGATCGTGTAACTGAACCTTCATCTCTAATCGGATTGAATGACCGATTGGAACGTGGAAATTGATATCATTAAGTAAGTGTCATATTAATTAGAGCCCCTTTATACTGAGAGTTAAGACAACACCCCCTCATGGAGTCACAAACGGGAATAAAGATTACACAAATTGATAGTTTTTCGTAATCTTTGATCGGCTCATTCTCAAATGCCTTTCTCCGTTCTTTCTCTCATTCCGTTAGTTCCTTGTCGAGCCCGTTATTCCCCGGTCCTATATTATAATCTTTGCAATCGGTGAAAATGTAATCTTTGATTCCCTTCTGTGACACTGTGGAGGCCTAAAATACGGTAACCAATCAGAAATAGATTCACATTGTCTCAACTCTCAGTATAAAGGGACTCTCGTCACAGTGAGTTAGACTCATATCGACGCACACGAGACCGAGTCATTGGGAGAAATCGACACCAAATTCGAAAACTTTGAAAGCTCATATTTTCGAAAATATGAGACCATAAAGTTTAAAAGTGGTTTAAATGGTTTCCTCGTGAAATTTTCTTTTCGAGACTCCCCTTGAAATTGAATCTGTGACGAAATAAACATCAACATTTTAAATTTGAGCCAAAAACTTCGTGTCCGACCTCTCCTTTTATCTCTCATTCCACCGTGCGACGGTGAAACTGCAAAAATGCGTATACATCTCGGTTGCGGTGTTTCGAAATCTCCGCTCCGATTTTATTTTTTATGAGGAGACCGAACCAACACCATGGCTTGAAGTTTTCACAGAATATACTTTTTAAAGAGAAGAAAAATCACTGCAATTTTTTTAAGAAATGACGTTCAGTAGTTTTCTTTGAAGCTTCGTAGCCCCAACAGCTGAGTATTGGTAAAACTTAGGCTAATGAAAATTTCCGGGAAGAGGAAAATATAAATAAATGCTCTCTGTGGTCAAGTGGAAATTGTGAAACACAGGCTTTCACGTGTGAGAAGCGACGATCATCTCCGCCTTTACCTGAGAACAGCCTTCCAGTTGGAAACATCTCTGACAAAGAAGGGACTGGAAGTGAAGTGTTCGAGGCCTTTCACGTAGAAACCGTCGACTCCGCGATCGAGCCAGAAGTTCATGATGTTCTCGATGTTGCTGATCTCGGAGCTCTCGGTGGGGCTGGCGTCGGACACCCCGAGCTCGTGCGGGCGGAGGAAGAGGTTGGTCAGCGGGAGGTCCAGGACGATGGAGATGTCGGCCGCGTGGAGGGCCCCGATCAGCGTGTCCATGTCCTCCATCGTCCCGATACTCCGGTCCACCTGCGAGAAGTTCTTTACGTTCTCGTAGAAGTCCGGGTAGTGGTCCGCCGCGAAAATTGAGTTCAGACGCACTGCTTTCACCTGCAACGACACCGGAATTTTCAAGTTAATCGGGTGGATGTTACCAATACACTGGAAAAAAGAACACATTGGATCTAGAGTCCAGGCTCTCGGAAACATTGACAATAAAAGATACTCTTGATTCAATCGGATTTTTGCGTAAATCAAAAGGTAATCCGTTCAAATTAAGAGGCTTGGTTCTTGATTTAAGCAAAAATCCAATTGAATCAAGAGTATTTTTTCTTGTCGATGTTTTTAAGAGTCTGGACTCTAGATCCAATGTGTTTTTTTTTCCAGTGTACTTACAGGGAAATGGAATTGATAAGAGCACAATCTTCCATGAAAGAATAGCAGCTTTCGACTCAAGAATACTCATGGATGGGACTGTGGGTGGCATTAAGACACAAAAAAAATAAAATTTTTGATTTAACAATTCAATTGCCAAAAAAAAGTGACTGCAACGTTACAGCGTAGAGTTTACAACAAAAAATGCTACTTTAACCACTATTGTAAGCTAATTCAACCACGGGGGTGGTTAAAGTACCATTCTTTTGTTGTAAAATCTACATTGAAACACTGCAGTCACTTTTTTTTAGCAATTGAAGTGTTAAATCAGCAATTTAATTTTTACCGTGAAGGTGGGCTCTTCCCAGAAACTGAGAGGAATTTTGCTATGTTAGTGCGTGACATATTTTTGACCTTAGAAATTGCATCTCTCGGCTCGAAAACAAGAGACGATAAAAACTGCGTAACAGCCAGGAAGCAGTATTTCCACGCAGAAAAAGAACATGATAAAAATAACCCGGGTTAGGTCATTTTCGAACTGAGAGATTGAATTGAAATTGGATCAATTTTTTGGTAAGGACAGCTCGAAATTGCTCCTGAGACAACTCAATTTTTCAAAATCTTCCCCGAGAGGTCCCCTGGCCCTGGGCCCTCGTATCTTATAATAATCCCCCGGATCCCCCTTTATGTGACGCCCTTCAGGCCTCCAAATAAAAAGTTCCTACATCCGTCCATGACAATACTCCGTGGAAACCTTATAGTGTGACAATCATTATGCAAGCTGTTGAAGTGCAATCAAATATAATGACTGGCAAAGGTATAATACGACAAGATTAGGCAAAGGCGATAAAATCGTAACCTGCCACCTTTTAGGTAAACAGAAGGATTCAATCACAATTTCTAACTGAGATTAGAGTATCTTTATGGGAAGATATATACCGACGGTGAAACTACCAAACCACGTATCTCGGTTTGCGACGTCGCAGACTTCCTGTCATACTTTATTTTTTAAATGAAAAACTACTTAACGTCTAGTCTTGAAAATTTCTGTGATTTTTTCTCTTTGTGCGGAGAAAATTCTTTGAAAATTTCAAGGAATGATACTGATTTGGTCGACTTCAAAAAAATAAAATGCGAGCGTAGATTTTTAAACACCGCAAACGAGATACGTGGTTTGGTAGTTTCACCGTCGATACGTCTATACGCCGCCTATATGCCATATACGACCTATACGCTCATTTACGAACATTCTTGGCCATTCTGGTTTGATGATAGAATCTAAAGATTGGCAGCATCATTTTTCCATTATTTTTCGTGTTAGACGGCTGGCTGCTCTTCTGGGCCCCAATCGGTATATAGTTTGACGTGTCCTTACTCTCCCCATAAAGGCACTGTAACTGAAATCAGCTTTATCAAAATCAAAAATAGGGTAGACACTACAGTTCACTATAATTTTACCTGAAGAGATTTGAGGTACGGAATTCGTGTTCTAATACCGCGCAAGTCACCGACCCCATCGGAATTGGTGTCTTTGAAGGAGGCGGGGAAGATCTCGTAGAAGAGCGAGCCCTGGTACCACTCTTTGGGTGGGTCACATGAAGTGGGCACCACGGAGATGAACATGATAACGGTGCAGAGACAAGCTACCATGGAGGAGATGAGGCCGCAGAACCACAACTTCCGGATAAGCGGCCAATTCCACGATATGAACCCGTATTCCGGTACCTTCCCGTTGCCCAGCTGGAATGTGTAGTAGCTTGGCTTTACACTCCCGTTCTCCTGAAATTTGCAAACATGAAAGTTGGTTCAAAATTGGCTACATTTATTGAAGCGGACGCATGAATTCTTGCCAGCAGGTCGATTATTGAAATTGATACACAAAGCTATAGACAAGGAAGACGAAAGAGATATGGAGGGATCCCATTGGCGGAAGCGGGTGGTTGCAATGGACAAGCGAGGCAGTTAATAGACTAACTAACAGTAACCCTCGAGAGACCCGATAGTTAGTCCATCATTTTCTCCCTTAGTCTGTATAAAAATCACTCATTTCGACCAAAAGGATCTCTCCATAATTTCTATGTCTTCTTTATCTATAGCTTCGTCTATCAATTTCAATAATCAGTCCGCAGATGTCAAGTCAAGTCGACTCCACTAACCGAAATTCAACCTACAGTCCCTCTACCCTGAAATAACATCCGTTAAATTTAATTTCACATAAAATAAATCATCAACGTGAGTGAAAAATGAGTGGCTTAACACGAAAACCACGTACCTTGTGAACTTTTGAGGTTTTCATATCATGCCTTTTTTTTATATGAATTCTAATTAACAGAAAATGTTCTCTTCACGAAGAGATAATATTCGTAGTTTCCCTTCGGAAAAAAGGAGCAAAACTAATTTGAAACATCACAGACGAGATACAAGGTTTGTCATATTTTTATGATAACATTAACATTCTAGCCATTGCTGATGAATACCGATTTTTGGCCGACCTCAGCCAACAAAATTCGGACCCAACAAGGAAGAGTTAAGGAAGAAGCGTCCTGAGGCGATTCTTGAAAGTTGGCAACACTATTTTTCCTCCTTTTAAATGTATGTAAAACAATTGATTCATTGGTAAGGCAGCTTACCTCACCTGAATCGATTTTTTTCATAGATTTAAACCGAGCGAAAACAGTGTTGTCAACTTGCAAAATCGCCACTGGAAGTGTCTATGGTTTGCTAGGTGAGGGCCAATGGGCCCAATTACCCTTACCAACCTGCTTTAACATGTGAAGTTCTAACAGATAATTTATTCATGAAAATTGAGTTCGGAAAGGATAATGCATGAATCTGCACGACAAGATAAAAAACATGCAACACTGAGAACGTAGGAAAAAATGTCGCGCTTTCTAATGTGTATTTATGCAACATGGCCATCCATTGAGCAGGAATAGTTGCATCTGACTTATTTCCGTAGCCGGTGCGGTTGTCGGAAATTTGAGCCACTCACTCGATAAGAACCGAAGTCTGTTCGCATAAAATTGGGCACTAAACTGATTTTAGTATGCCGCACAGTGAAATAACTTTTCCTTAGAGAAAATCTTTCTTGAAAAGTTTCAAACCTGACTGTTTTCCAAACATTTTCAGGAGAAATAATATTTAGATGTTAAGTGATTCATTTCATTTTTACTTCGTCTAGTGTTTCGCGAATAATATGCACTGGGAAAAAAAAAAACTCATTGGAGCTAGAGTACAGACTCTTAAAAACATCGACAAGAAAAAGTACTCTTGATTCAATCAGAATCTAGCTTAAATCAAGAACCAAGCCTCTTAATTGAAGCGGATTTCGTTTTGATTCCAGCAAAAATCCGATTGAATCAAGAGTATTTTTTCTTGTTAATGTTTTCAAGAGTCTGGACTCTAAATCCAATGTGTTTTTCTTTCTAGTGTGTTCCTAGAAACGTGTTTGTCACTTTGAAAAACTCATGAAAAGAGTGTTGCTTTTTTTTTGGTGGGACTGTCGAAAATGGAAGGTCCAAAACGATAAATGAATGCGTGGGCATACCTGGAAGTTGGCGTCATTCATAAAATGGCATGTTGTCAGGAAGCTTGTATCGTGCAAAACAGAGCTACTTGAATCGGAAGATTGTAAGCTGGCGCCGAGCTCTGCTCTCTTGCCTCCTCCTGAACGCATGAAATAAGGACGAAGTTAACAGGTCTGTATCCCCTTAAACAATTTACAGCACACTCCGTTCGATCTTCCTCCCTCAAATTGGATTGTGGTAAATTTTGATGAAAAATCATGCGTTTCACGCCAGTTGACCGGCTGCCTTGCGTTTGGCGCAATGCGAGAAGTATTCATGCAGTCTTGTAGGCGCTAATCAGCGCGACACGCCGACCGCACTGTTTGGCGCAATGCGCGAAGTATTCCCACAGTCTTGCAGGCGCTAATATGCGTTCAACGCCGGCCGCACGGTGTTTGGCGGGATTATTCGAACTCGCGTTAAAATAATCGCGGCATCGAATAATGGGGCTAATAAGGCCCATGTCGTGTTTTGACGCCGTCTGAGCATTCCAACTTTGCCTCGTTTCTGCCAATTAAATAATTTCTCCGAGAAAAGTTAGGAAAGTCCTCTGTGTTCGCTGTTTTAATCTGAATAGACCATTCAACAAAGTACGAACTCAAGCTCCCTGATACATGATTGCTCTGCAGAATTTCACGCAGAACACAACTCGCGCAACGAAAACTACTGAAATCACCTCCTAGCTAAGATACAAGTTTGTTTTCATTGTACATTGGTTACGGAAAATTTGAATTGCCCGGTCAAAAGGAGCTACAAAAGGGCCACTCTGTGCGCTTCAACATGAACTAGTTGGAGGAGTGAGTTAGAGTACCTATATTGAGAGAGTATGGCCACTGGGGTTACCACCTCTGATTGGCTCAGCCATCTTAGGCTGAATGGAGCCCTTAGGACCAAAAAATGGCGGACGCCATAAATTAATGTAATGCAAAATGACTCAAAATGTAGTTTTCTTTGCTTATCGTAACGAGTTTAATCAAATGGACGTATTTATGCGAAAAGGCGCTAAACGCCATTTCCAAACTTCTCAGTAAAGAAAGTTTGACTAAAACAATTGGCGTTTCCGTACTAATGGACCGATTTTGGTTTACTTTAGCTTGTTTGAAAGCTAAAGAGTTCCTCTAATTACGTACGTTGCCAAAATTAGTAAAAATGCATATTGAGCGAGATATAGGGGATTTTTGCACGTAGGTCCATTTGATTTAATGCGCTAACCCGGATTCCGAATTAAATCAAAAGGCGCTATCTCCACTTGAATCACTTGATTGACGCGCGCGCGGCGAAGCTTGGTGGAAACTTGGTGGAAACTTGGTGAAATTTAGTACCGGGGGGTATTTTCGCATGGGAAACTCGAATTTCGGGTCAAATTTTGAAAATTCAGAAATCCAAGATGGCGGACATGGCCTAAAATGCTATCTCGGCCCCTATCCAGCCGATCTTGGTGAAANGCATATTTACGTGTGAGAGCAGCCTATTACATGGAGAATCCAGATCCGTTAAAAACTGAAATTTGGAAATTTGGCGCTTAGTTCCCTTTCGTATAAATACGTCCAAATGCACTCTAGCGACTTCTTTACATATTTTTAAGACTAATCGTGTGCAATTTTTGAGAAAAATTATCTTGAATGTAGTAAGGTTGGCAGCAAGTACGGTTGGTGGTAACCGTCAAAAGTTGGCAATGACCCCCCTCCCATCCACAAAAACCAAAACAAAGCACCGCCATTTTTGGGTCCTAAGCCTCTCCATGGGGCCCAGTGGCCATACTCTCTTATTATAGGTACTCTAGAGTGAGTGTGACTAAGTTTCACTCTAGTATGTATTAAGTGTAATTTACTATACATTAAAATATAGTAGACTGATATATGTATAGCAGGCTTTTTGGAATCAAAGCAAGAATAGAGAAAATGAATACCATAGAGGAAGATTTGTATCGAGTGCCAAAATGGCATAGCTTTACAGGGACATCAAAACTTACGCAACAGGTATCATGATATATTTATTAAGCAATTCCAGGCTCAAATCATAATCCTTACCCGGTATATCGATCGGAGGCGAGACATCGATTCCTGGTTCGATATATTTTGCTGCATCCGGACCCAACGTGCTAAGCACTGCTGTGTTAATGCTGATTGGCTCCCTCTCCACATCGTACGCCAAAACTAAAATGGAGACAAAGGTTGTTTAGCAAATTAGATCTTCAAATTTTTCATCGGTAATTTTATTTTGATTCCATAAGGAGAACAATTAATTTTTTGAAGAAATATTCAGTACATCTGACCCCCTTATCTCCTCAAAAAGCATTTTTGGTTACCTATAACAAATGATCGCCGGAAACGCACAGGTTATTCCGGTAATATTCCCTTGACGCTAATTTTTTAAGACAATGTTTATGATATCAGGACGTATTTTTCCATTGGAAAAACTTCGTCCGCTTCGTTTTGAAATGAAACATTTTTCGGAATCATCGCCATCTTTAGAGCCTCATTGCGGTGGAACGCGGCGGCTGCGGCAAGGCTAACAACGGGCTTTGAGATCAACAAGAGTTAAATTAGAAAAACGCTATCAGCTTCATTTTAAGAGAAGAAATTTTTCAGAATATTCGCCACCTTTAGGGTCTTCCTACGGCACAACGCCCAAGTTTAAGTCAGGCCGATAACGGATTTGAGATCAGACAGAAAAGTTCTAAGGATTTTCAAAAATGTTTCCATTGTGAGTTGGGACATCAAAATGACAGCGACTTCCCGAACTTCAAATTTGGCATTTCAATAGAATCAAATCATACTTGCGTACTTTAAACCAAGGAATTTTCAATGCTAAGTATGGTTATAACATTCGGGTTTCCTCTTAAGTTTCTTACGCGAGTTTCGTACCTGGAGGCGTCGAATCTGCTAGCGGATGTTCACCGATGGGGGTGGAGGGTGTAAGTAAAGGGCATATGGCGGCTGCTTCATCATCTCCCAAATGCTTGCCACTCGTTAATCCAACAAGTTCTATGCTCGACATCGTTTGGGTTTTTTACCTGTAAAGCAAATCACCGCCAATGTAATAATAGTAGGACATCAACCTTGTCAATCCTTGCACTCAAACCTCAAGCATGAGAATAGAATTCAGCCATAGTTTTTCAACGATTCATTCTGTTTTTATTGCACTTTTTGCACGTTGCACGCGGCTGCATATAGGCTAAAATTTGTAAAATATGATAAATATAATATCATCTGTCGAGTTGCATTGAATCATTTATCATCAAATGTTTTATCTTTCTTCTTTCATGGCAAAGTTTTTTTTTTATTATTCTTCAGCGCTTGATTGTCAGTCACATGCGATGATGAGAACACGAGGAGACTTGACTTTAGTGCATATAGGGTAAGTAGAGTAGTAGAGTCGTAGTAGTAGTAGTAGTAGTAGTAGTAGTAGTAGTAGTAGTAGTAGTAGTAGTAGAGTCGTAGTAGTAGTAGTAGTAGTAGTACTAGTAGTAGTAGTACTAGTAGTAGTAGTAGAAGAAAGTAAGTAGAGTACTAGTAGTAAAGTAAGTAGAGTAGTGAAGTAAGTAGAGTAGTAAAGTAAGTAGTGTAGTAAATTAAGTAGAGTAGTAAAGTAAGTAGAGTAGTAAAGTAAGTAGAGTAGTAAAGTAAGTAGAGCAGTAAAGTAAGTAAAGTAGTAAAGTAGAGTTGAGTAAGTAGCTATGATGAAACTTACCTCGACGACACCTCAGCACGCGGCTCGTCTCATTTGGCAGAAAAAACCAACCTTATGTTCAAGTCCAGAACCCCGCGGAGGACACGAACATTAAAGCACTCTCGGCCTTGAACGAAAGGCAAAAGGTTGAGCTCAAGGCAACCTTTGGACGCACGGTACTTGGTGTATTTTCCGAGGGCAAATTCCTAGCTTGAAACTCACTTAACATCCGGTCTGAGAGGAGAACACTGGGGTGAACTTGAAAGCGACTCTGTTTATCGGTAATTGTTTTGGTCTTGCACATGCACAGGTTATTTTGGTTGCTGCCCACGGCGACGGCTTGGCGAGGCCCCGCGCGCAGGTCCCGGGCACGCTCGTGCGCGTCGGGGATCGATACGCGCCCCTGCGCTGCGTCACGCGTCCCAGGCTCACGTCACGCTTGAACACTCTGCCGTGATAGCGAAGAGAGCCGTAAGTGCAAAAACGAAGTTTTGAGAAAACGGGCTCAGAAGCTTCTGACAAGAATTTTATTGAAAGGAGCCTCCATCCGTTCTATATCAAATTGCCACTAATCGTCCGGAAGACTCCTAGAAATCGTATGGATGATTAAAAATCGACTGATTTTATTTCCATTACATGAAAAGGGGATTTTTCATTTTCATGCTAGGTTATTGTTAGGCAAGACAGCCGTAAGTGCAATCTTCTGCATGCTTTCGTGGTTGCGTTTTGGACGCACAGCAAACACATTTTCAGGTTAGAAACTGGCAGAAGAGGGCGGCACCGGGCACCTTACTGGAAAGCACTGTTTTCATTGGATGTCATGCACCTGCGGCTGTCTTGAAAAAAACCATGTCATTTTTTGTGCACTTACGGCTCTCTCATACGTCTTGTTTTCATTAAATTAGGATGAATTTTGCTGTTTTAGCTGTCTCAATATTTTCATCTAAAAGAGTTTAGACGAATTTTGAAGAAAACTCGATTTCGAAAATTTTGCACTTACGGCTCTCTTCGCTATCACGCCAGCACTGCCGTGCTAAGGAAGAACGCCGTATGAGCCTTCAGACGTTAAAATGGTAGGCGTAGGCGGTGGTAAGGCTATATTTTGACCTATCTTTCCCCTCTTAAGATCCCATAAAGCAAATTTAGACCCCATTTTTACCACTAGATGCCTTACGTAATACTTGCACGGTCCCTATGTTGGGACGATATCGTCACCTTCTGGCCAAAATAGGTATCACAAGCGCCATGCGACGTTTGAAAATTTCCGCCGCCAATTTATTTTTTTACAGAGAAATTATTCAACGAAGCGGTGCGAAAAAATCACTAAATTTTCCTCGTGCTGCCGATAAAATTCAGTGGAATTTTCGAATAGATTCAACCAACAATTTCTCTGAACAAATAGAAACAAATAGAATGGCGGCGAAAATTTTGAAACGTCGCATGGCGCTTGTGAATTCAGTGTTCGAAACTCACATTGGAGTTTCAGGAGCCATGTGGCGCATCAAGGTCGATTTTTAGGGGCCATTCAATATTTTTTAGAGGCTTAATTGACTTTTTGCCAATGTCTCACGGCGAATTTAGTGACAAGTTAGACGCAAGATGTTTTAGTTACAGAAATAGTAGCTGTTACTTGGGGGAAATTTCGGAAAATCACCAAACAGAACAACTATGATTTTTTTTTTGGGGGGGAGGGGGTTTAGGGGCCACGATGGCGCTGAGCCGTCATTTTTTAGGCGCCATGACCGATTTCCTAGGCGCATTTGGCGCGTTGGCGCCTGTGAGTTTCGAACACTGCGTGTGATATTTTTGCCGGAAGGTGACGATATGCCGGTATGATCGTCATAACATACCGGTAACATACCGGTAACATACCGGTAACATACCGGTCATTCGGCCATCTCCATGAGTTCGTCCTCGTTGTTGGCGCCGAGTTGGAAGGCGGCTGCGAGGTTGTTCTGGGCATTCTGAGCGTTAGCGGGCGCCGCGACGCTGGCGTTACTGGCGGCATTAGCGTGGGCGCCGGGTGCCTGGTTGGCATTGGCCGCGCCGCCCTGGCCACGCTGATCCTGTAACGCCAGGAGTTTCTGTCGCTTTTCCTCCATGAGCCGCTCCCTGTGCTTGTGGATGTAGTCGTACACGTTCGGCAGGCCCATGATCACGCACGCCGAGAGCGCTGAGCGGTAGATGTTCATGTCTGTCGCCTCGTACCTAAGCATCAAAATTTTCTAATTTTAATTAAAATTAAAATTAAACAAAAAATAAAAATGTAAAAAAAAAATAAAAATTAAAAAAAAAAACACATACCAATTTTAACAAAGAAATTCAGCGTAACAAAGGCGTGGTTTTTTTTAGAGAGAAAATATTGCATTCGAGTGCAGTTTCGATATCAGTAACGAATGCGATGTTTTCTCTCTAAAAAAACCACGCCTTTGTTACGCTGAATATCTTTGTTAAAATTGGTAAGTGAGTCTCCTGAAAACAGAATTGCGATCTCAAAATTGGAGAAAAATGACGAGTAGATGAAAAAATGGAACCAATTGATGCGATATATCGCATGCCGTTCTGACACAAAATATGGCGTCCATCGAATCACCTTAAGGTACCAGAGACGGTCTGGACCTCCCTAAAATTTTCAATAGTATCATATCTACGCCTAATGGTGGAAATAAACAAATGTCCTGGCCGAAAAAGTGTCGCTCAACTGCTAGCATCGAAAAATGTGGATGCGTATTCATAAAATATCGTGATCCCGGAAACTATTTTTACTGCTTTGGACACAATGAAATTTACTGAAATTTTACTTTCATGAAAATCGAGCTGGATAAAATCCCTTATTCAAACGCTAAAAAATTGGAACTCAAAATGGGGTCATTAATAAACTGAGAATATACCACTTTATTTTCAGCGTGTGGCCTATGGACATTACGGGCTCACCACGAATGTCCAGGATACTTATACTATATGGATACTTCCACTAATGTAAGAACGAGGATACTTACCATTCGTTGGTTTTCTCATCAAAGCATTCGACGTGGTAGATGGTTGTCACACCGTTGAAACCACCAATAGCGAATATCATATCGTCGATTACTTCAATCGCAAAGTTACTACGCGGATTGTACATGTCTGGGATCGGCGTCCAACTGTTTGTCTGAGGGTTGAATTTTTCCCCGCTGCACATTCTAGATATACCGTTGAAACCACCTGCATCCATGGAAACACAGAAAAGAGGAGCAAGTAAGAGAGTAACAAAAGATTGATAGGAATCAGGAGGGTTTGGACATATCTGCACCATGTTAAAGGTTAAACCGTAAGAATGGGGGGGGGNGGGGGGTAGAATAATATACGGATTTGTAATTCTGCTGCATGTTTTTTGGAAGACGTGTTTGTGTTTTTTAGACGTGAAAGTCGTTTCAAGAAATTTGGAAGGAGTTTGGTGTCAATATTTTCTTAAATTCTATGAGTCTTGTGAACTGATGTGAATCGTAAATTAAACACATGAGGCCAAAAATCCGCGTCAAAATTTCGCAATAATAGCCTGAAATAATCTGGCGCCGCGCCGCGCTGACCGCACTACGTTTGGCTCAATGCGTGAAGTATTCCAACAGTCTTGTAGGCACTATGCTTTCACGCCGATCGCTGCTGAACGCACTGTGTTTAACGCAATGCGTGAAGTATTCATGCAGTCTTGTAGGCGCTATATGTTACACGTCGACCGCTGCTGACCGCACTGTGTTTGACGCTAAACGTGAAGTATTCATGTAGTCTTTTAGGCGCTAATATGTGTTACATGCCGACCGCCGCGCCGAGGGCTTTACCTTTTCATCTCAAGTCCTCGTCATCTCTGTGCCGCACTGCTCCAGGCCAAATTGCGTACTTGGTTTCTCTCGTTACTCGATTAATTAAAGGTGCTGTCTTTTGAATCACCGTAAAACGACAAAATTAGTAATTACTATACTCACAGGAAATGAAAGATTTTGTCGCCTTTTCCCGTTTGTAATTTTTATTTTATACTTACATTTTAAAAAAAAATTGCAATTTGCCGCCATGGGCCGCGGCCCACGTGCCCCCCCCCCCTAATTCGGCCCTACAGCTTCAAATGGAGATGTATCGACAATCGATCATTCACGCCTCGCCACAGAGCGGCATATTTCTAGTTTTTTTCGTGTTAAACGTTTGGCTGCTCTTTTGAGCCCCACTTGATGAGCTTGAAAGTAATACTACTCCCATTGTACATTATGCTGAAATTTAGTGTTCTCGTACCGATAACGTAGACGCAGCCGTGATAGGCTATACAAGAGACTCCACTTCGACGCGATCTCATTGGAGTGATCAACGTCCAGAAATTCTCCTCTGGGTCATATACCTCAGCTGAATGCATACATTCTTGACCGTTAAAACCTCCCGTTATGTATATTTTCTCTGCAAAACCAAAAATAAAAATGAAAATATCGTATAAAAATGAAGTGAGAGGTCAGTTAATAATATGCTTTACCATCGGCAGACTCTTTAAATTGGCAAGATGAGACAAGCCACATATCTTTATCTGTTACACAGTAGCGTGGCGTGTTTTGTGATATATCGATTGATCTGCCATTTAAACCTATGGAACAGAATCGATAGACAGGGTGTTCGTAACGAACACCTCAATAATCGATTCTCTACTGTAGCTTCGAATGGGGAAATATAGATCATCGATTGTTCACGTCACGCCACTGCTGTGCCATATCATGTGTCGATTTCTGGTATCTTTTCGTTTTATGGCCCAACATTAAACAGGAGTGTGAATGTTGCCAGCAGGTTGGAACCGAGTCTACATAAATGTACCGGTAGTAAAATCAGTCACTTCCAATTCGGAGAATATTCAACAAAACGAAAAACGTACTATGGCGTAAGTCATGCCAATATCAAACAAGCAGAAAAATCCAACATGAATATGTTGGAAAAGCGTGCCGAATAACTAAAATGTTGGACACATACCTACTATTTTCACGTCTTTGTTATTTGCATCAATTGGTACTTTTTGCTAAATTTGGGAGAAAATATTGATTCATGAACGTTGAATGTAAATTGATTTTAAAGATTCCGTCCAATTGTCTTGATTTTAAGCTGATATGCGGCATTTCGCACGACCGTGATTTGGGCGAACTGCCGTGCATCGAAATCGCGTTGAGTTAATCTCTTTGGATTTCGAACTGTAACTTCTCTCCTATTCGGCCGATTTTTACAAATGAGGTCTCTTTTTATTTGTACTTTAACGGAAAGTAAGGAAAAACTCGCTAAATAGACGGAAAACAATTTTTGTGAAAATTTGGTGGATCTTGGCGTCACGGTGAATGGTTAATCGGGCGTGGAAGATAATAGGTTCGACGAGGCGACCCTCTCCTCGCCGTCTTTTATTGCCTTGCTCGAAACCTGACACCCAAAGCTATATCGGGAGATAACTGCAGTGGTTTGAGCGGATTTCTGCAGGGGCCACTGTTAGTACATGGTATAAAGAGTCACGAGGCTCATCACAGATTGCACTTGCAGTGCAAGACGCTCATTGGCTAAACAGTTTTGGCGGGAAAGAAGGTTCTAGAGTTGAGTCCTCCGAGCGTAAGAAAGCTTCTATGAGGTTTTTGTCAAATGAAATAATACGGTTTTGACAGGAAAATGTTCTCAAGGGTTCCCAATTAGCAGTTCATTCGGTTTTTTGGTAAGAGACCATCAGGGCTTGACAGTATAATGGTTCAAAGACAAGAAAACGGGTCCGAGGAAAAAAATACTTGGACGGCCCGTTGAATAGCATTGGTTGATCGGTGTGCTGTACTATGGTACATCCGAGTGATTTCAAAAAGCGAGCCCTACTGGCACGCTTAAAACTACAGGTGTTTGAACAAAAACGGAAAGTTCAACAAGCTCTCCAGAAGCTCTGGTTTGAGTTGATCTGACAGTGTGCTCATAAAACTTAAGGAGGGTAATTTTTATTTCTTTTGCAGCTAACAGGCCGATGTTTGTGTTGCAAGGGAACCATAATTAACACAAATTCAGACATAAAATGTACCGATAAATGGCACAAGGACTTTTCCGAGAAAACAGCGATTACACTAATTGGACGGAGTTAAACAGAAAGGAACCAAGCCACATCGGGATCGAACCGAGAAAAAGAGGTTTAAAATTTGGCTCCTGCATAAGACTCAATGTAAAAGATAAACTTCAAGTTCAATTTCTGCAAAATTTGCTCCAACAAAAACTTTGAATTTTTGGCGATAGATAGTAGAGCAATGGTTGAGTTCAAAACCACTCATAACTCAATTTTTCCCAAAATGTGGGTTGGTTCCTTTCTGCTTAACTCAGTCCAATTTAAAATAACTAGAAAATTGCCAAGGGCGTGTGTCCATTTACCAATGGGCGTGTTGTTCTTTGCGATTTATCAATTGTTATGTCATTTAAACGTATGGATTAGGATCGATAAACAGGGTGTTCGCAGCGAACACCTTTAATAATCGATTATTTACCATAGATTTAAATGACATAACAGTCGATAGATCGCAATTCACGCCACGCCACTGCCACTTACCATCAAGGGTTGTAGCGCTGGCATCGCTTCTTTGAACATTCATTGGAGCAATGAGAGACCACTGATTCGTACGATAGTTGTATTTCTCAGCTGTATTCTGTCGATGGTGTCCATCATACCCACCCATCGCGTAGACCATGTCATTAAGAACCGCTACACTTACGTAACATCTGTTGAAAAATGTATGAAATAGAGGCTGGATTAGGATGCGGGTATGAGAATGAAAGTATGATAGTAAATATATGCCATGAATATTCCAATTATTATTTATTCAACCGAAAAACTTTGGTTCATATGCAGCATGTTCCACATTGACCGAAGATTTTTGGTTCGATGCATGTACTAAAACTTCGGTCCGTTGAATTGAACCTAGAGGCTAGTACTGTTGAGGGTGATTTCATGATAACTGGAATATTTTGGTCGCCGTGACGAACAACACAATTTTCGGTCATATTTTTAGTAGTAATGATAATCACTCGCATTTTTTTACAGTAATCTACACAGGGTTACGTGTTATGACGCTTTTCAAAGATTTATTGCTCTACTGTTCAATTTTAATACATATATAAAAAACCGAAAATGTGCTGTCTGTTGCGCTGACTTTTTACCACGTAGCAAACAGCACATTTTCGGAATTTACATATAAAATTAATTGAGAAGTAGAGCAATAAATCATTAGAAAGCGTTATAATACGTAACCCTTTGAAGATTAATGCGAAACAATTCGAGTGATTATCATTTTTACTAAAAATATGACCGAAAAATATGTCGTCCGCCACGGCGACAAAACTATTCCAGTTATCGTGAAACCACCCTTAGGTGGAGCGGTCACTTTATGTTCGACTAAGGTCTGTCTCCCAGAATCGAAACAGTGGCGTGGCGTGCTTTGCGATATATCGATTAATCTGCCACACTAACCTATGGAAAAGGATCGATAGACAGGGTGTTCGCAGCGAGCGCCTTAATAATCGATTCTTCACCATAGCTTCAAATGGGAAAATATCGATAATCGATTGCTCACGCCTCGCTAAAGAGCATTCCAATGTCGCTAACCTTGCAAACATAAACGATCATCTAAATAGTTTCACCTCTACTCCCAATAAACTATGAATTCAATTACCGTCGCAAAGTTTACTTTTTGCAAAGAATGTACTTAAGTTGCACAATCCCAGCAACACTGAAATGCTCTTAGTTCCTTTTTGCAAAATGCGATCCAATTGGTTGTTGCTGCAAAAAAATAGTTTCCCACAACCTGCTATACAATGCTCCAGTGACCATGTAAGTTGGCCGGAGCACTACTTTTTCGGGAAGAGAGCCTTTCCCCTACCTGGTTTCTCACTTAATATCCGCCCGAGGTTCGCATATCTTCCGTTTCTCCTCATCGCAGCTTCCATCAAACCGCAATTGCCCAGAAACTAGGACCGCACGTCTTATCTGATAAAATCGTTCGCCCCTTAGACCGATTCTGGGGGGGTTAGGCTAGACTAGTCGATGAGTCAACTGTTGATCTAATTTCATTACGTGAACGTAGAAGAAAAACGGGGTAAAAAATCACTAATGTGTGATCAATTTTCAAGGACAATTCTGTAATTTCTCCTACGATTTTAAATAGATTAAAACGCGTAATATCCAAAATCTAAGCTCAGATTCGGATTCCTCGTGAAAAACTGATGCGATTTCATGCATCATATGTTAGAATAGCCTGAAGGAAAGAGGTTTAATGACGTAAAAAAACACTAATGTGTGATCAATTTTCAAGGACAATTCTGTAATTTCTCCTACGATTTTAAATAGATTAAAACGCGTAATATCCAAAATCTAAGCTCAGATTTGGATTCCTCGTGAAAAATTGATGATATTTCATGTATCATATGTTATCATAGCGTTGAGGAAAGAGGTTAAACAACGCGTATGAATTCTGTCATACCACCCGTTTGAACTACGCCGCGCCGCCGCCGCGCCGCCGCGCCGCGTCGCCGCGTCGGTCGCCCGAGATGCAACCGAACGGGGCGGCGCGGCGCCTAGTGGCGCTAAGCGTTCCGTTTCGTCCCGAGGAATTCCTCTCGATAAATTCTTATTCTTCCTCCTCCGCTGACCCACTGAGCACCCATGTTGCCACGTTGGATTCATATGCTCGAATCAGTATGTCTACGTTACGTCTCTTTCCTTCACGCTATGCTCGGGTATGATACATGGAATTGTATCAATTTTTAACGAGGAATCCGAATCTGAACTTCGATTTTGGGTATCACGCGTTTTAAGTCAAATTTTTCAACTTTGAAAATCCGAAATGACTGAAGTGGCTTAAAATGCCATCTCGGCTCCTGTTCGATAGATTCTCCTGAAATTCGGTGTCAGGGTATGATACATGAAATTGCATCGATTTTTTACGAGGAATGCGAATCTGAACTTCGATTTTGGGTATCACGCGTTTTAAGTAAAATTTGTCAACTTCAAAAATCCGAAATGACTGAAGTGGCTTAAAATGCCATCTCGGCTCCTGTTCGATAGATTCTCCTGAAATTCGGTGTCAGGGTATGATACATGAATCATAATCTGAATAAATCAAAATCTGTCAAAATTCAAAAAATTCAAAATTCGAAAATCCAAAATGGCTTAAAATGCTATCTCGGCCCTTGTTCGATGGATTTTTCTGAAATTCGGTGTCAGGAGGTATTTTTCGACGGGAAACTCGAATTTTTAGTCCATTTTTTAAAATTCTCAAATTCAAGATGGCGGACGTGGGCTAAAATGCTATCTCGGTTTCTGTTTGTTCGAGTCTTGTGAAACGCGGTATCACACGGTATTTTTCAACGGAAAACTGGAATTTTTAGTCCATTTTTTAAAATTCTCAACTCCAAAATGTTGGATGTGGCCTAAAATGAGCCCCGGTTCTGGCCTCCGTTTCTGTTCGTTAGAGCTTTGTGAACCGCGGGATCAGCGGTACTTTTCGACGGGAAACTCGAATTTTTAGTCGATTTTTGAAAATTCTCATATCCAAGATGGCGGACGTGGCCTAAAATGCTATGTCGGCTCCTGTTCGATGGATTTTTTTGAAACTCGGTGTCTGAGGGTATTTTTCGACCGGAAACTCGAATTTTTACTACGTTTAAAAATTCTCAAATCCAAGATGGCGGACGTGGCCTAAAATGCTATGTCGGCTCCTGTTCGATGGATTTATGGCGCCCCCTTCCTAAATACCTACTCTTGTATTTCTGTACAGCCGCAAATTTAGGGTCAAGGGGCGTCTGACCGTCTATGGACCAGGTGGAGTTTTTTTGGAGTTTTCACTGCCCAACCTTGTTTCCTTTTCCTTTTTTCCCCATGTCCTTTCTTCCCTTTTTCCCTTTACCTTTTCCCCCCTTTTTTTCCCTCTCTTCTTCTTTTTTGGCGCCCCCAAAGGCTGGCGCCCGTGTGCGCCGCACGAACTGCACACGCCCTAAGTCCGGGCCTGTCGCCACTGAATCGAAAAGCGCCAATTGAACTATTCAGTTCGTAAAACCGAGGTTTTTCTCGCAGTGAAGATATGACCAAAGTGCTACCAGCCATTCTTTAATTGTAATTGCATACGTTCTGTACCTGCGAGCATTCATAGGAGCAACTTCCTTCCACGTCTTGGTGACAGCGTTGAAGCAGCGGCAAGAGTTGAAGTAATCCATCCCGTCGAAGCCGCCGATGACGTAGATGTTGTAGCCGACTACTGCTGTGCCGTGATAAGCGCGGGGTCCGGTAGGGTCAACTTTGTCTACCTTTCAATCAGGCGTGAGCAAATTCATAAGCCAAATTCAATACAACGATTGGATGCATTCCTGCCCAACGGAACTATGTGCATAAAGACATGAGCCCTGAGACCCATAAGAATACATGCATAACAGGGCTCACGTCATAATGCACACAGATCCGTTTAGGAGAAATACGTCCAATTTACACATTCGACAAAAGATTTTATCCAAGTCCATTGTGAGATATCGCATGTCGCGGATGCGAGGCATAGGCGGATCCAAGAAGGGGGGCGCAGGGGGCGTGTGTCCCCCTCCTACGCCCGAAAAAAAGGAGGAGGTAAAAGGGAAAACGAAGGAACGGAGGAAAGAGGAAGGAAGAACGCTTAAACTTGAGAAATATTCATGTCGAAATTAGCTTTAACAGCATATTAGGTGCTTTAAAATTTCAAAAAATTTCTGGGGGAGGCCCCCCGCAGACCGGCCCCCCCTTCCGTTCCCCTCGTTCTGAGTAACTGGATCCGCTTATGATGCGAGGTGCATAGAATTCACATAGGGTCACGAACAACTGAAGATTGAGAAAGCGTTTTGTTTGAGGTCGAACTGATTGTCAGAATCTGATCGATCGTACGTAGCCGATCAAAATCCGGCTATGGAAACCATACTAATGGACTATATAGACTTACCGTCCGCGTTCCGGGCTCAGAGCCCTAAAGTTCCGGGCGCAACACACGGAACAGTCAAAGCAGTGTTCGAAACTCACCTTTGAGTTTTAGGTGCCATCTGGCGCAACAAGTCCGATTTTTAGGCGCCATTGAAGATTTTTTAGGGGCCGAATTGACTTTTTGCCTATATGTTACGGCGCATTTAGTGAAAAGTTAGACGCAAGATGTTTTCGTAACAGAACTAGTAAGTAGCTGGAACTTGGGGAAGACAAAAGCACTAAGAATGAAATCGCGAGGAATAGGAAAAGTAAGCTTTCACTTGTAGTGCTGAAGATTCCGAGTTTTTTCAATTCAAATAGATTTGTTTTTCTTTCTTTATAAGACTTCCTGTGAAAATCCGGATTTTTAGGGGCCACGTTGGCGCAGAAACTTCATTTTTTAGGCGCCATGGCCGAATTTTTAGGCGCTGTGAGTTTCGAACACTGAGTCAAAGCTACGGCTCCAGCACCCGGAACTTTCGGCTCCTGAGCTCGGGACGGCCGGTATGTTTACATAGTCCGTTTTTTTTTCACATTTCAGTTTTGTTTCACTTTTTTTTCAGTGCAGTAATTTGGAACTAGAGAAGATTAACGGATTGATTGCCTACTTTAACCCATCGGTCGGCTCTGGTGTCGTAGGTCTCGATGAAATTGGTGGGGCTGCCCCCGCTCCAGCCGCCGATGGCGAAGAGGATTTCGTGGGGCACCCGGGGTCGCGCGATCTCCGGCGTGGGCACCTCGCCGTCTTTCTGCGTGATCATCTCCAGGTCGTACAGGAACTTCAACGTCTCGATGATCACCGGCCTGCACTGATCGTTCCCCGTCACGTAAGGATGGTCTTTCACCTAGAAACACATATAGAACCTTGGTTGCGGTAATAATACAGTAATTGAATAGTTAAAAATTGATTTCTTGGTTGTTTTCATTATAACTATAATTATAATTACCATTGAAAATTTCATAATTTCAATACTACTGATGAAATTATAAAGTCATTTCCATGATAAAGATGAAAAAGATGAAAAAGTATACCGGAACATGCATATTGTTGAATAAGGTTAAATGGCTTGGATGCATTTCGAAATGCATCCAAGCCATTAAACCTTATTCAACAATATGTGTGTTTTGGTATGCTTTTTCATCTTTTTCATCTTTATCATAACAGCACGCGAGATGCGTTTTTCCAGTTATCATTTCCATGAGTTCAAATTATTCTGATGAACAAATTGAATGTTGAGCGAGCATTTCTCTAAATGCAAAATCAACATTTCGACGGTGTAAGTCGGCAATCACATAACTCGGCTTGCGACGTCGTAGACTTCCTATCATCCTTTATTTTTTAAAAACGGAAAACTACTCAACGGCAATTCTTTAAAACTGCCGTGATTTTCCTTCTCTGTGCGATGAAAATCCTTCAAAAACTTCAAGGAATGATGTCAATTTGTTCTCCTTTAAAAAAATAACATAGAGGCGGAGATTTTCATACACTGCAAACGAGATATGTGATTGCCGACTACACCGTCGTACAGTGGATCGAGTCAATCAAAGACGTCGGACATAAAATTTTTGACTAAAACTGAAAATTTTGATGTTTTTTTCGTCACATTTTAAATTTTAAGGGGTGCTTGTAGAAGAAAATATCACAAGGAAACCGATAGAACCACTATTGAAGCCTCACAGTTTTGTATAAACGGAGTTCTAAGCTTCTAAAGTTTGCAAATTTTGTCCGACCTCTCTCATTGACTCGATTCACTGTGCGTCGATTTGATACTTGTCGCACATTTTTTTAACAGTATAAATGCTAACTCAACATTCAATATTTTCCGTGTGAATTACGTTTTCGAGGAAGAATTGGGTGTCGAGGAGGCCAAGGCGGATGTTCTTGAGAAGCGGGACGATGAAATTCTTGCGTTTCTGGGCGTCGTGGTTTATCCAGCGGAGGACGCACTCCCAAACGGCTTCCTCGCTCTTGACGTTGAGCTCGTCGGCCCCGATGATGGCCCGCAGCTCCTCCAACGAGACGTACAACAGCTCCTCGCTCTGCTGCGCCATCGCCACGAAGTTCCGCATCACGAAACGGTGCGCCGCTGTCTCCAGGTTCTTGCAGAAATGATCTCTATTTGACAGAAATGGGCCCGTTTAGACTCAGATTGAATGTATTTCTGCTAAACGGAACTATGCGCTGGAGAAAAAAACACATTGGATCTAGAGTTCAGACTCTTGAAAACATTGACTGGAAAAAGTACTCTTGATTCGATCGGATTTTTGCTTGAATCAAAACGAAATCCGCTTGAATTAAGAGTCTTGGTTCTTGATTTAAGCTAGATTCTGATTGAATCAAGAGCACTTTTTCTTGTCTATGTTTTTAAGAGTCTGGACTCTATATCCGATGTGTTTTTTTTTGAGAAACCATGTAAAAGTGGACGGAGGAAAAAACTTCGTGCATGGGGCCCGAAGTTGAGGTCATATGGATCTCTGAAGTTTTCTGATCACGCATGCGAAAACTTGAGGTCCAGCTGCCGAAATTCGGGTCCGACATCTGAAGTACTTCAATATATACCGAAGGGTTCGGGTCACACATCTAAAGTACTCCGGTGCATACTGAAGTGCCTCGATGTCTGACCCGAACTTTGGCAGCTAGACCTCAAGTTTTTAGATGCGTAATCCAAACACTTCAGCGAGCCATATGACCTCAACTTCGGGTCTCACGCACGAAGTTCTTTTCTCCGTGTGGGCGTGATCCTCCTCGGGGAAATGGAAAAGCGGATTTTACATTCTGCCTAACGGAACCTGGTGCCAACTGTATTCGGTACCCATAAGCCTAGTAGATAGTAGCTACCTGAAAGGTAACCGTCAGTTTCGTATGATCGCGAATAGTCACTTTTTTGAAGCGAACTTGGGACCATACGGGCATACTTGTGCATAAACCTTTTCTGTGGCAGGCAAACAACAAGTGTAGTAAGCATCGGCGGATTCAGACACACCCAATGCGGGAAACGGGAGGGAGGTTCGAGGGGCTTTTCCGAGAAAATTTTCGAAAGTTTAAAGCATCTAATGTCTATTATGAGTCATTTTAATCATAAATATTACTAAAAAATATGCGTCTGTCCGTATTCTTTCCTCCCTACCCTTCTCTCTCTTTCTTCCCTTTTTATTCCTACTTTGTTCGGGCAAACGGGGGCGGGGTGGGGAGGGGCTGCGTGTGGCCCCTTGGATCCACGTATGACAGCCTCTATTCAAAGTATTTGATGACAGCAGATGATGACCGTCAAAGGTTGGACAACAACCCTCTCCCATTAAAAATCGCCAGCATCTTTCTGGATCCTTCCCGCTGTATTAGAATCCCTTTATACGTAACCGTTGAAGCACCATCACGAAGGAGACAAACGCAACAATCACAATATGAAAATACAGCAGGAGAAACAACGCGCGTAGATGACGGCGCAGAGATACATCTATTCGTGCTTGATGGATGTCCGTGTTGCGTCTGCAAAATTGAAGGCGCGATGGCGCGAAGTGAGAACTCTCAATTCTCCGCTCTATACTATCAATTCTACCAATGAGGTGTATCTAAGATTTGGGAGAAAGGTTACGTCTCTCCTAGAGTCCCTTTATACTGAGAGTCAAGACAATGAATGCGAATCCATTTCTGATTGGTTCCCGTATTGTGGGCCTTCACAGTGTCACAAACGGGAATGAAGATTACATTTTCATCAACTGCAAAGATTATAAACTGGGATGGACCGGGGAATGGGGGGTACGGCAAGGAACAAATGGAATGAGAGTGGGAACGGAAATAGGAATTCGGAAATGGGTTGATCGAAGATTACAAAAAACGTCCAATATGTGTAAACTTGATTCCCGTTTGTGACACCCATAAGCCGCGTTGTCTCAACTCTCTCTACACGGAGAAAAAAACCTCGTGCGTGGGACCCGAAGTTTAGGTCATATGGATCTCTGAAGTTTTCGGATTTAGCATCTGAACACTTTAGATCTAGCTGCCGAGGTTCGGATCACACATCTGAAACTTCAGTTCTTACACCTGAAGTACTTCAGATGTGAGAATCGAAGTTTTTCGGATGTGAAAACCGAAGTACTTCAGATGTAAGAATTGAAGTTTCAGATGCGTGATCCAAACCTCAGCAGCTGGACCTAGAGTGTTCAGATGCTCAATCCGAAAACTTCAGAGAGATCCATATGACCTAAACTTCGGGTCCCATGCACGAAGTTTTTTTCTCCGTGTATGAAGGGGCTCTACTCTGTATGAACGCATTCTAGGCTTACTTGGCAAACTGTTTGATTCCGATGCAGTTCTCGGGTCGCATATGGCGCATGAGGAAGGAGCAACAGAGGTTGCGGACTCCGTGAACGGCCAGGTAGTCGGCCGTAGCGAAGAGCTGGCTCACGTTAGTCTCGTTGATGTCCACCTTGCGCAGGTAGGCGTACTCGATGAGTATCTTGAGTACTTCCGCTGAGACACCGTGTAGGATCACGTCCCGCGTTTCTGTCGTGTGTAGCGATGTTGTGAACAGAGCCCTGCAAATGAACATAGGGGTAGTTAGACATTTTTTGTGGGGGGAGGGCAAGACTGACGTGTTACGGAAAAAAACCGTAAGTTCATTTCTGCGGTGAACCATGATTAGCACATCGAAGGCGTAATTCCGCAACATAGAGTACATGGAGTCGTAATGTAAATGGGAGAGCTGAGAGCTGGCGCCATGTTCTGCTCGACGAGTTCTGAGCCCAGTGTGCGCCGAGTTCGGGTCACTCTTTCGATACATGTTCAATCTAAAATGGCGGTGTGGAATATGTGGTGATTCCTATCTTCTTCATTTACAGTGGATAGCCGGGTACCTGTGTATCGCAAACAATCGATTATGTATCGAAAAAGTGGCCCGGCGTCACTCAGGAGTCTCGGAATTCGGGACCTGGAAAATGCTTAAAAGTGGCGCCAGCTCACCCACTTACATTACGACTCTATGTACTCTATGGTCCGCAATCACATACCTCGTTTGCGATGTCTGAAAATCTCGTATGTTTCGTATCACTTCCATCATTTTCCCGCCATTCCGGCGCTTTTGAAATGCCAGCGATTCTGTTGACCTTTTAAAAGCAGGCTAGGCCGGGATTTCGGCATCAAATACGCAATAAATCACCACGTAATTTACTCACCTGGTGCTTTCAAAATATTAAATAAAAAAGGCAAAGTTTAGTGACCCGTTCTGCAAGAGCTCAATTTTTGACAACGTACCGGAAGTAACCGCTGCAAGCGGACATGATATTGCGGTGCACGGGGAAAATCTGTCCATTTTCGAGGCGAAGCGTTGCGTCGCACAGTTGATTCTGTTGGCGGAGCTCGTAGAGCGACTGCATGGCCTGTTGGCTCATGCTTCGACCCTCCGTCTCACAGAGGGCCGGAACGTCTGTCGTGAAAAATTCACTCAAGTCCATCGGCTGCTCACCTGAGGAAGGACGATAAAAGGAAAAGAAGGCGGTGCACGGTGGATCAAGTCAATGAGAGAGGGTGGACTTAATTTTTTTTCTTTCTTTTTTCTAAAACTGCAAATTTAGATGTTTATTTTGGCAAATTATAAAGTTTAAGAGTGCTATTTAAAGTGAACTATACAGGGTAACAGTGTTTGAAACTCACCTTTGAGTTTTAGAAGCCATGTGGCGCATGAAGCCCGATTTTTAGGCGCCATTGAAGATTTTTTAGGGGCCAAATTCACTTTTTGCCTTATATTACGGCGCATGTAGTGGAAAGTTAGACGCAAGATGTTTTCGGGACAGAACCAGAAAGTAGCTGTAACTTGGGGGAGACAAAAGCACTAAGAATGAAATCGTGAAGAATAGAAAAAGCTTTCACTTGTAGTGCTGAAAATTCTGAGGTTTTTTCAATTCTAATAGATTCGTTTTTCTTTCTTTACATGACTTCCTATGAGAATTCAGATTTTTTGGGGCCACGTTGGTGCAGAGCCTTCATTTTTTAGGTGCCATGGCCGATTTTTTAGGCGCATTTGGCGCGTTGGCGCCTGTGAGTTTCAAACACTGCGGGGCAACTAATGGGACCACTTTTAAGACCTTGGCGTTTTGTAATAATGGAGCTATGAGCTTTTAAAGTTTTCAAATTTTATTCGACTTCTACCATTGATTTGATCTATTGTGCGGAGGGGCACATTGAATTCACTTTATTACTTTAAAAAATTTTTGCGTCGAAAAAAAAAAGAAAGATATATATCGATTACGAAATCATAAAAGTGAACCCACGTGACTTCAAGATAAAATTTCTAAAGGGCAAATGCTCAGAAGCGCAAACCTCGAAAGCGTGAATGAGAATTTGTGTTTTTAAGGTAGTGATGGCAGAAAGTCGTTCACGCAAATGATTGCCTTTGAAATTTGAAAAAAAGATAAGAAAAACTTCAAATATTAGAAATCTGATTGCAATGTAGCAATATTTATTGATTTGATTTGAAATAGTTCTGCCTCCTTGGATTCTGAACTGACCGTAGGTTGATGTGTATTTCTAACAGGACTTCTTTTTAATTCTTCCGCGAGAACAAATATGTTAGGGTGCACGCTCGAATTTTTTTCCTAAAGTGTCCATGCAACCAACACTTTTATGAATATTGCATTTTAATGTAATATTCAAACATTTCCCGGAAAATTGACAATGTTACGATAAAAATTAGTCATAGTTTACTTTGTCGGCGCAATGAGCGACGCTGACATTAAGTTGAGATGTACGAGTAACATGTAATGGACCCTCAGTTATCGTCGCATGCAACGAACTCAAAGCAAAAACGCCTGGATGCAACTATTCGCGCTCTACGGATGTCTGTGTTGCATACGCTCGGATATGAAGGCGTTTTAACTGTCCAGTTCACCCTCGGCGCAACAGCGGGTCGTGCTGAGAGGCTCCAAAATGACAAAGCGCCTTCAAGTTTTCGTTTATACCGCAAAGATATCCAACACACACGAATAGTTGCACACAAACGTAGGGTGTAAGCTTCCCTGGTGCTTCAGCTTTAATCGACGATGTACTGAGCATGATTGGTGGACGAACTATTCGTGCCTAAGAGATACCTGTGTTCTCAATTTAATTTCAGAGTCGCTTATGTTGGCGATGAAGAAAACAATTACTGATTTTTCATCGCGATATTGTCAATTTCCCGAAAAATGCATTGGTTGTTTAATTGTATTGCAAAGTTGCTGGTTCACGAAATCGCAAAAAATCAGGTATTTCAGCAAGAACTGTTGAGTTCCTTGTATCCTACATTAATAAGTCTTTTTTTTTTATTATTATTATTTTGTCCCTCTTTTGATAAAGACTTGAAACGTTTCAATTCGAAATTTTGGAAGAACAATCCTTGAATTCGGACTAAATTTCCTCGCATAAAATCCTGGTTAAGGCGTTAACAAAATATATGTATATCGACGGTGCCAGTCCGTTACCACGTATCGCGTTTGCGATGTTTGAAAATCTCCGCTCGTATTTTATTTTTTAAAGGAGACAAAATCGATATCATTCCTTGAAGTTTTCGCAGAACTTTTTTCGCACAGAGAATGACCCGGGCAGTTCTTAAGAATTGTCGTCGAGTAGTTTTCAATTTAACAAATAAAGTGTGACAGGAGGTCTACAACGTCACAAACCAAGACACGTAGTCGCGGACTTACAACTTTCGTTAAGTTTCTTCTTAAGTTTTCCCTTATTTAGGGTTTTGCACTTCTAGGATGGGTCTAGACACTCTCTTTTTGCAATATTGGGCTGCGCATTTCTCACTTTTGCGGTTTGTACTTTTGGATAACACCCGACTTAGCAAAAGTATTTTCCGATCATGGGCGGAACTAGGAACTTCTTTTGGAAGGAAGGGGGGGGGGCAAAATAGTACGTGATCGGGCGAGGGTTTAAGGAGGCACTAAGAGACATCCTACCGGAGGGAAATCGTAGGAGCCCCCTAATTTTATTGCAGGGGGATAGTTCGGGGGATTTCCGTAGCTTCAAAGGAGTACCGAGGGGTCTTCCCGGGGGAATTTTTTTTTAAAAAATGGGTCGCCTCAGAACTGAAACTGAACTGGTTGAGCTCATCAAAGATTTGAAAAATCTCAGAGAAAGGCCAAAACAATCCATGTTCATCTTCCCCTCCTATCTAGGCTAGGTCATTGCATTGAGGTTATGACATCAAACGAACAGATACATTTTCCCGTCGTTGGCGGAACGTGGCAAAAAACAAGTAAGACATAAAAACAGGGAGCATATATGAGTCACTTAAGAATACATCTTAAAAATGTTTGGACTTACTGCACTGCATTTTCGAAACGTGGGTAAAGAACTTCTATGAGGCGAAGCAACGTGTATTTGTTTACAGTGAAAAACGGAGAGAATAACGGCGAAATAAATGGAGGAAAACGGAGAGTCCAAAAATGGTTTCTGAATTTAGAAGCTGAGACGAGTATTAAATACACTAAAATTTTGACTCTGCGCGAAAGGAAAAAGGAGAGAGGCGGGCTTAGTTGTAAAAAATTGTATTATACGATGGAGACTATTATTATCTTCCATAGATATTTTCTTTTTCTGAAGGACATCATTTTCGACGCCCCCCGGCTGGCTCGTTTCAGTTGCCCAGGAAATTTTCCAGATTTCCTCGCTTTTAACAACGTTGGAACAGCGATGACTGTTGTCATACCGAATAAAGTCGCTGGGATTGTCAGCTCGATCATAAAATGATTTTATTTTCCCGAAGACCGTGCTATCTATTTATTTAACTTTTTGCTACTGTCTTTTTATCTTTATTTCTTCATATCTTTTTTTGGAAATAGTTTTTACTTGCTCGCTTGTAAAAGGGGCGGCACTAGAGCACTTGTACATGTGTACGGGAGAGTATTGCCATCTCAATCCTTTTACTAAGAAAAAATGTGCCGCTCTCTGAATGGTCGGCTATCATAATGCCCCAAAGTTGGACCAATGTAAACAAACCCCAGCCCCTCCGCTCCTAGTTTGGCCCAATATAAACAAACAAGATGGCGGAAAAGTTCTACGAAGTTCTAGACGTGATTTTGGGTGTGATAGAAATTTTTTTATGATCAACTTCTGGATTGAGTTTCGATCGACCTTTAACTGATATTTTTGCCGAAAATTAACCTTTGAGTGTGATTATCATTCATTTCTCAGCCAATCATACGTATTCCTCTGGGTCGGGTTTGTTTACATTGGTCCAACTTTGGAGCTCCATGATAGCCTGAAACTGATGAATCAATCAGAGACGGGCACAGAGATGGCAACACTCTCCTGTGTGTAGGTACTCAAGGCGGCACTACCTAGCCTTACGTATTTTATGCGGAAGTGTTCGTGGATTCGGGTTACGGTTACATTACAAGGGATACGGAAAAAATTTGTTACGTAATATTCGAATCTCCCTGAGGCCAGGTATTCCAGTATAAAGACGCATTGATTATTTGTAAACGCAGTTGAAGTCAGCCGAATTCAGAATCGTAACGGTAAACATCAGTAGGCAGTAAGTTCAATTAAAGGGGCACGGTGCATCTTAATAATGAGTTTCATTCTTTTCTCATCTGGAAAAATGTCTTGCAAGCAACTTGAAACTGCTCGCGCCCGTGCAAGTTAGTGCGAGCGCGGGAGAAGGAAAATGAGCTGGTTAGAGTGCACCTTCACTTTTTTTTGCATATGCAAAACGGACATCCGTAGAATAGGAATAGTTGTATTCAAGCATTGTGATCAACATCACGCCCTCATCTGACCCTTTTATCAGATACACAGGCAGAATTTTGTTTTTGTTTTGTTTTGTTTTTTATTTGGGGGCGGGGGGGGGGTAATTTGGTCGGCAGAATGACTTAGGGGCCGAGGCCCTATTTAAAAATTTTAATCATCAACTATTTAACTTCTGCTTTGTTCAATAACTATTCTTCTTCGAAATCCTTTTGTTTATATTTATCTTTACTTTTTTCTTGTTCCTGAGACGAGAGCTTGTGTTCATAAAACCTCCTTCTCCCCCTGCCCCCCTTGGCTACGTGCCTGCACGCCGTCCGGCCGTATCTCCGCACAGAAAGATATTGAAGTTGCCCCATTATTTTCACGTCGTATGTAAGTAAAAAGTTATAATTGTACCTTTTCTCCACCCCTCTTCCTCTTTGAATGTCCTGGTCACAGTATAACAGAAGGTCACCCTTTGCGCAAAAAACGGGGCTCATATTTCTGTAACACCAGTAGATAATCAGTTTTTCAATTATTATGGCAAAGTGAAAGTAATAATACAACAAAAGTAGTAATAAAAAAGACGGGGGGGGGGGGCCTGGGGGGGTGACAATTCCCTGTTGAGCAAAACTTAAAAAAATAGAAAATAAACTGTACAAAATTCCCCCCCCCACAAAAAAATAAAGCGCCCTCCGTAATTTGCACCTCTGTTTTATCTAAAATATCGTGAAACACTTCTATTCTAAGTCGTGGTGCGAAAGTCTAAAATTTGAACTTCTGTCTCGCTGAGGTTTCATTCCCCGTCCCCGTGAAATGGAGTTATACTTGGTAGACATTGTGTTGACTTTCTGCCTCTTCTGCCAAAGTGCCTTCAATTGATCTTGCTGCAATTTTTGTTACAGTCCAAGATAGTGCCAATCCCGGCCACTTGGCGCTACCGTACACCAGTTCGATAACCTCGAAAACGTCGATTGTCGTTTGCCGCTCGTAAACAAACAACAACAACGTAAACTCCATATTCAGCACTTTCAATCCGGTACATGCAATGTACATGCTTGCTTATTCGTGATCGTAAATCCATGTGACTTTTCGTTTTCGTCCAGACTCCAGACCTGTCGGAAGTGTTTTTCGCGGAGTAAGCTAGGTTTCTCGCTCTTCTTAATTTGTCATTGAATCAACGTAGTGCCTGGCCTGACCATCATCTATCTGTTGGTAAGTATCCTCCTGAAGATTTCTCTTCAGCAGTTGCATCAGCCTTGCTGAATTTTAGGCCTTTCCACTATTTACTCACCAGGACCAGTTCATGGATTGATATCTAGTCACAGTTCATGATAAAATCACTTTTTTTTAGAAGGTAGGGGTGGACAACCTTGTCTGAAGTGCCATCTTTCTCAGAATGTCGTGAAGAGTTGCTAGAACTTGGCAGCATTCTCTTCCGCACCTTCTTGGCCCCTTTGTCTCGGCATCTTAAATAGCATCTCTGTAATTACACGCTTAATGCCTTTTGTTTCCAATTTGAATCATTGCTCACTTACCTGTCAGTCAGAGCGATATTTTTGGAAGAAAACCAATCTAGCCTTCCATCATTTCTATCGCATGCAAGTCTTGCTCTAGACTTAGATGCTCCGAAATTTTGACCACTCAGTCTCTAGCATCTTCAACTTCGTCATTGAATCCATTAGTTTCATGTTTATGAGTACTTTCAATGAGAAAGTATCTCTCTTTCTAATTATGGATTACAGATTTAACATGCATTTAGGGAAGATAGCCCTACGAACTTCTGATTTCCTCCAAGGCTTATTTAATTTTGATAGACTTGGGAACTGTAATGTGTTCATTCACAGAAACCCTGACTTCTAGCACATCTAATGGGCCATTTACTTAGAAAAGCGCTTTCCACTTCAATTTCCATTCAAATCACGTTTAATATTTCACACGCCATCTGCTCTATGGATCTAAAGATTCGAAATGCTGCCACTGCAAAATTGAACTAATTTTGGGTTGAACGTGCAGGTTGTTTCCATGTTTCTCAGGAATGTTTTCAGTGTGCTTCTCTTGATCCGGATCATGGAAGATGAATTCAATCCTTCCTTAAATGCTACTTTCGGTCTTACCTAGTATTATGTATATGGTAACTTTTGAGCTCGTCCTAAACTTCAGTTCATCTGCGGAGATAATTTAAATATGTCTCGTAAATTTTTGTTGGAGGAGGACTGAGTTTTCCACTTTGCTCATCATTGATAAGGGATTGATTTTTTGTAAAACCGATTAAAAGTCAGCATGTCCAGTAGATGCAACGTCACTGTTATATGCCACTATCATGGTTGACTCTTCGAATTTGAGGGAGGATTCTATCCCCTTGACTCAGGCTCTTAGTTTTCTAATTTGATGTCAAAATAGGAAGTATTTTGTCCATTAGTTGGCAAAAGCATCCAACTTAAGTTTCTATTCCATGTATCTTGTTTTATGCGGTTAATATATTGTGTACGCAGTTTTTTACCATCAATGCTCAGGCATCTCAAGCTCTCATAAGGTTCTAGGTAACTAGCATCGCCCATCTCACAAATATTGATGAAAATCAGAACTTCACTTCAAATCTAAGGAAGATTCCATCTCACCCCAAGAATTTTTCCCATTTGTGCAATAGAGGAAATGTATAGAACGGGGTTCAATAGGTTTTGCTCCAGTTCAGCGATTTTTATTCTACGCTTATTGTTGAGGTTAGGATTCATTTAAGAACATTCTTCGGCCACTCCACAAGAGCTTAAAACGGTCCCAACATTCCACTGAAATTAGAACAATGTCTCGTTCCTGCTTGACTTGCTTGAGAGAAAACATTTGAATTAGGTCCTGCCATGGGGATGGAATTGACAGCTCTTTAAGTCTCAATCTATCTTAAATGATTGGAATATACTTAATTGGGTGTGAAAGGATAAGAATAGTTTTCAGTTTGATTTGATTATTAGAAGACCAGCAATTCTAGCATAATTTTTTTAGACTCTTATTGCAAGTCCCAATTATTCACGCATTTTTCAAAGGGAACTTCTGTGAGATGAAGTGTCGTGTAAAAGCAAGAGATGAAGAAGAGACCATTTCTTTAGAAAGGCATTTATGTGAGGTACCTTGCTCGGAAGGAATGATCGAAGAGTGCCCCTCACTGTGCTCTTTTAATATACAATAATTTCAACAAGTCCAGAAAGAGACAAAGGTAAATTTGCATCAACTTTTTCAAGGATGATTTTTCTAGGTTACGCAGTATGTTGAATTATCTATTGATTTCTGTGCAAAAGCAATATGCCCTTCCACGGACAAACTCTTCAATTGAGATCTTCCATTACCTTCCTGGCATCAAGTAAAAAACTCTGCTCTTAGTGTTACCCAGACAAACCCTTGAAACCCACAACATGAGTTTCTAATGTGTTTTATTCTTTAATTCAACGGTGTAAGTCAGCAATCACATAATTCGGTTTGCAACGTCGCAGACCTCTTGCCATACCTACTTTATTTTTTAAATGGAAAACTACTCAATGGAAATTCTTTAAAACTGCCATGATTTTTCTCTGTGCGAAGAAAATTCTGCATAAACTTCAGGGAATGATGTAAATTTGTTCTCTTTTAAAAAAATAACATAGAGGCGGAGATTTCCAGACACTGCAAACAAGATATGTGACTGAGGGATTTACGCTGTCCAATTGTCTTTTATAGGTAAAATGGTTCATTGATAGCTGAAACATGTTTATTGAACAATTAATATGCTTGAAAGTTCGATTCTTTTTTTTTTTTTTTTTTTTTTTTTTTTTTTTCTTCATTGTCAGTTACTTTCTAAGTTGTAATCTTGAATATTTGTTTCAGATTGCAAAAGATTATTGAAGCTGGCTATCAACAATGGAACTTGAGTGGCAGATGCAGCATGGTCTTCTGGTGAATGATACCGTAAGTCAAAGGACCTATCTGATTTTTACTTTTTTTCTCCGTACAGTCAGGTTTGAGATGTACTTCATTTTGATTTTAAAGTAAGATCATGAACAGATTTGACGTTTTACACATTTTGTAATTGGATGAGTACCTACACCCAAAACCAATTTTTCCCTTTCAATAGCCCTTAGTAGGCTGGGGCGTCTGCGGACCAGAAGACGATAGTTGAGTAAAAAAGTTTCAACTGTGAAAGGCTTCCACAATTTTTAAGTTTAAAGAATTAAGTGTGATTCTTGCACTATTCGGAAGGAAAAAAAGAACAGATCGGAGGACTTTTCACCCAAACGACAACCGCAGAATGGACCACTAGACAAGATACGAATTTGAGCATTCTGATACATATTTCTTTACTAGAATTTCAAGTAAAACACGAATTTTCCATCAAAAATTACTGAAATGAATTCCTAACTAAGATATTAATGTTTTAATTTTACATTCGTCGCGGGAAATTTGAATTGCCCGGTCACAAGAAACTCAATACTCTACATGAGTCAAATCGCGCACTACAACGGTTTTGGCAGGTTTCTCAATCAAACATTGTTCATTTCCCACCCTTTATCGTTCCAAGTGTAAACAATTTACTTTAGCTGAGCCAAAGCGTCAAGATTGAGGTTGCCATATTGTCAAGATTGAGGTTGCCATATTTTCGTATCACAGAGACTGCCTTGGTAACGTTTAGTTTGCGATCTGACGTATGTAGACCTTTGCGTTTCCATGAGCGGGAGGTTTGAATCCACGCGCCAAGAAACATTTAATATCTTGGTTAGGAGTTAATTTCAGTAATCTTCGTTGAGCGAATTGTGTTTTTCGTGAAATTTTGGTTAAGAAACATGTATCAGAATGTTTAATTTTGTACCTTGTCTAGTGGTCCATCGTGTGATCTAGGATATTTTCGATCCCTGGGGAGTGATCGGTTCTTTTGTCTATTAGGTTTACAGTTAGTCTTGGCTTTTCAAGCTAGAGTTATTTGAACGAACTTTTAGACAACAGTTCAAACCAGTTATTTGACTTTGCCTCTTAGCCACCAGTTTTCATGGCGTGGACTGCAGCAGATTCAAAAGGATCCAAAACAAGTTGTTCCTCCTAAAGATCTCTGATCTTACTAGACCATAACTCAGGGAAAGTACTTTAATCTTTTGCAAATGGAAAGCATTTAATTGTCTTGATCAATGTTCAGGCGGTCAATACCCCTCCAAAAGTCTCTAAAAACGAGATTTTGTCAGAAATGCCATCGTGAGGATTCCAGGTGAGTTTGGAGGGAATATTTTTTCTGTGCCCTCTGTATCTTTTGAAGATGACAAGGTTGCCTCATGAAAATGGCCCTCTGTAATGAAAACATCATCTGTGAAACAAAGATCTATTCTGTTTTTCTTATTTTCATTGTCCTTAATTTTGTTTCAGACACACTCCATCCATTCAGCGTTTGATTCTAACTCTAACGACAACATGACTTATCACCCTCAGTCAAATGGCAATATGCAGATGATCCAATACAATTCTCATTCTTCTGATGGCATGACATTCAACTCACGCAAATCTTACATAAATCGTATCAAGACAGAGGTGGATTTTCAGTGTTGGGTTGACCCTAAAGAATGTACGACAGTGAACCAGAAAGTAAGTTCAGTCTGTAAATTAACATCCATACTTCAAAATCTTTGACCACACTGATTTCAGTTTGTGTCTTAGTCATTTCCAGAGATCCCCGAGAGATTTTCATCATTTTCTGCTATCGGCGGGTAGTAATTTATAAACGATCTATTCTTGTCCTCATATTTTCATATTGCAACCCAGGTCTTTCAGTGTTGTAAAGCAGCTCTCTGAGAGCAAGGCTTGCCGAAGGCTTAGTAATATACTTATGGGGAGGTTGGGAGCACCCCTTTCTTCTTATTTCTGCTATTTTTGAAACAGGAACATACCGAGGTTTTGACTGATACACGGTTAAGTTTGAACCAAGGAAGGGAAGTACTTGAAGTTTTCTTTCTCTACAAGACTCATTAGTAAGGACAAAGTTTTTTGACTAATTTCATGTCGAACATATTTTCTTTGGATTCAGAAGTTTTGACGGAAGAATATCCACCATTAATTGAAGTCAAATGCAACTCAGTGCATTTCTGTTTACTTGTTCTTTATGTCAGAAATATTAGAAAGTCTCCATCTCAAATGTGTGTAGAAGCACAAGTAATATTTAAAAGTTTCTTCCAATATATGTTTCACAAGAGAATATCATGTTGAGGTTTTGTTAATCAGCCGTAGAATTATTGTCATTTTGATATGTTAAGATGTTTCTTTAAACATATTTTTTACTCACTCATTACACTCCAGTTTTACCCAGTAATAGGATTTATTTAATAGGCCCAACAGGTCCTTGAAATGTGACCTCAAGAGTTCTTAGGGATGAGTTTAGTTTTTTTTCAAAGATTGAACCCGGATCAGAATTTTTGTAGTGGGCCCCCTCTGTTTTTTAACTTCTGGTAAAACAATCTCCTAGATCATAAAGACTTTAAAATATGTTTCTGCATTAAAATTTCATATAAAATGTGGGGGAAGCCTAAACATTTTCCAAAGCTAATTTATTGGAGGAAAATTGTATTTGACATTATCTCTCTCGTCTGACTGGGTCCGAGTCCAACACTAAAATGCCCCTGTAGTACTACATTAGGCTCGTGAGGCTGAGGCTTTAAAGTTAAAGTTCCAGTCTGAACCAAAATTGAAACTGGGAACATTTTTACTGGCTTTAGAGTATTTTTTCTCTTTCTGATGCAACAGGCACAAATATATACATTTGTAGAATTATTTGGATTTTCTTTGCGAGGGAACATTTCCAAGGGTTGCTCATGGAAACTAACTTGAAAGCACTATTTGATGAATACTGGTCAAAATGATTGAGTGTAGAAATTTTTGTTTACTTAGATTTTTTTCAATTTGTTCCTTCTCTGATTTCAGTATTCCAAGATGTTAAACAAAATGTTTGTAGTACCAGACAAGGTACTGACAGTCAACTTCTCGTTCATAGATAATCATCCTGGGAGCCCTTATTATATAAGGGCTCAACCAACATTCTCCGAAAGCGAACACATCAAAGAGCCTGTGCGGCGGTGTGCAGGTCATCAGTTTGATGACAAAGGTTGGTGGATAGTAGCAATCTTGCCAATTTTCTCATATCAGTAATGGTAATTGCAGGGGGGCTCAGTGTTCGCTTTTTCGTAATGCTGTAACTGAACCATCTTCAATTTTCATAACCTAGGTCTAATTTACTTTCCACTAGAGGAAAGATAAGTTAAAGGAACATCTCTTCTTGCACTCTCATGGAGGACTGATTGCAGTGTCTAGTGGTTCAAAAGTTCATCTGTTTTGACACATCTCAAAGCATTTAACCACAAATTAAAATTGCTCAAAATCACCGATGTTTAAAGTTTTGCTTTTACAAGCCCACTATTACGCTGCACAGCCCAAGGTACAGCAACAGGACTTGAATGAAAACACTTTGGTAGATAGTCTCATGGCTAGGAGCTTGATTTGCTCACAATTGTAACTACATTTGTGGCTGAAGGCTTCCAGATACTTCAAAATTGATGAAATTTTCAGTGTAGGAGTCACATTTTGTTGAAAACAAGAGGATCCTAAAACTAACAAAATTTTAAATCAGGTATTCAGACTTGTTTCCAAGAATAACAAAAAGGGCCGTTTGGAGCGCTGCAGATTATCATATTCAACTTACGCCTTTCTCCACTTGTCAAAACAGTTGAAAGTTTTGCCCAGAGGGCTGTAACTCGTCGAGGATTGATGTTCAGATTTTTCAACTTATGCATACTTCTCTATCCCTTACATGCCTGAAAGTTTCATTGAACCGTGGTGTTTAGGGCTGAAACTTCATAAACATGAGTTTTATCCCATTTGTTGTTTATTTTTTGTCCATTAGAATCCAAGAAAAAAAAAAGTCTGAGTTGATCCGCCCTTTTTATTTTAAAACACTGGAAAGAAAGAACTATATTGAACATTTAAGAAGGAAAGCGGCTTAGTTAGTGCTTGAAAGTACTTGCTCACGTCTTTGAAAGTGTGCCAAGATCCTAAAAGTTCGAAAATTTTCCTTGACTAAAAGTTTTTTGCCTTTAGTCATTTTGCGGAGATATTCGCAATACTAGCAAATTTTACGATGACCTTATCAATGTGATATGAGCCAAATTTCAAATGATTTTTGTAGGAGATGCCAACCGGTGACCTCTGATCGACCTAGTACAGTTCCTAGTTGCTAGTCTATTGATTCAATTGTGTCTAAGTTAGGAAACAACAATGTAAATTTTTCTACTTTCTAACAATATGTGCCATGTCCACTAGACCCCTTTGAATGGGAAACATCGAAAAGTCATGGAAAGATGATGAAACTTGGATGGATCTTTGAAACAGCTCAGTGTCTTTTCTATTCTTTTTCCTACTATAAAATTTCAGGGAATGCTCTTGAGATCTAATTATAAATCTTTAAGTTTTGGTTTTATTTTGTACGGAGTCCTTTTTAATGCTTGACTTACATGAATTTTTTTTTTCCAGATCCCAAAGCACCTCATGTCCTCCGTTGTGAAAGTGGGAACCCACTGTATCAAGAAATAGACGACAGGTGCAGCGTCTTGTTGCCTTTGCAACACTACAAAGCAATGAAAGTGTCCATTAAATACAAGTTTGTTTGCAAAACCTCTTGTAAAGAAGGAGGTATAAATAGACGACCAATTCATATCCTATTTACGCTGGAAGACGAGAGGTCAGTTCCATTTTTTCTAAATCTAATATTACGCTTGAGGCTGAAGTCTCCCTTTTAATTTCATCCAAATACTATCCTGTTCAGTGTAAAAACGTCCTCATTTATAATACAGTCCTTGCCAGGGTTTTGCGCATGTGCTCCCTTCTGGCCAGAAAATAGCACTAATAATATTGCAAAATGTGATGGCTATAAAATAAACCACTAACATGTGATATTACTGCAACACTAAAGCAATCTATGGAAAAGACCAATTAGACATTTTGCAATTAAGATCTACAGCTTCTGGCTCAGTTTAGTACGCGCCATTATGCCATTAGTTTCCCCATGCACATAAGTGTTTTTACAGACAAGTCAGAAATTTTAATTCCTAACTGCAAAATGTAGTCCAATGAGGTAGTTGCATAGAATTTTTTAAATTCAATTTCTAAAAGTTTGAGGTCTACTGAGTATTTAGGTATTTTTTAAAAAAAATTCCAGTCACCGGAACTTGGAGAAAAAGCTCCTCCAAGGCAAAAGCCATTTGAAACGGGTCTTTTCCCACGCTTCGAAACTGAGTCTTCGTGACATCTCATGGTGCACACCAAGGTTCGCCCTATGTCAAATACCTGTAAATATGGTCTTTTCAAAAATTTGCGAAAAATCGATTTTTTTTTTGTCAAGACTTGATTTCTTTGTGTCTATGAGAATTTTAGGATTTGATTATTAATTTCAAAACAATTTTGAAAGTTCTCCATCATGATTTCTTAGTGGAAAAGGGAGTTGAAATAGAGCTTTTCGCGTATCTTCTGCCGCTGCCAGGAGCCGTGCGGTCCGTCGGATTTGGGTTTGCCCAGACTGCTTCAGCAGTGTTCAGCTGGAGGTGGGCTCACCAGGCGCTGGTGGCGCTGGTGACCAAAAATCGCAACAACACCATAACATAGACTTATTCTTATCACTTTTCTAATCTCAACTAGCGCTGTGTTTGAGTTTATGACCAAGATACGGTTCTGAACACCTTCCGGCATGATTTCCGACAGTATTTCCCGAGGAAAAAAGATAATTTAGACACTTTAAATAGCTCAACATATCATACTTCGGCTCGGTAAACACACGGTCGAGAAAGGGATGATGGCGGTGGGCGGGGCCTTGTATACCAACTGACATCACAGCCAATTGAAATCGTTTATTTCTTACTGCGATTTTGCAACTTTTTATCGAGCCTTTACGAAGCTTTCGACTCAATTTCGGAACCTGCACATGCGAAAAACGGTTTTTTCGCAAAAAGTTCTGCCAGAAACAGTCATCAAATCTGAAATCCCAGCTGCATGCAACTAGCCCATTAATGCTCAATTTTGATATGATTCACACAACCAGGCAACAGTATTTTTTCTTTGGAATATTTTTTTTTTTCCAACGAATAAATTCGCTTAAATTCTGATGCTTGAAATATTCTGTTTCTCAGGATGACACCCCTAGGAACGTGCAGTTTGGAAGTGCGTATCAGCTCAGCTCCAGGCCGTGACATGGAAAAAGAAGAAGCGGCAAAGGAGAGCGGAAAAATTTTAATTCGGAAGGCTCAGAATCCTCGTAAACGGAAAATGTCCATGCCGAAGGACAGTAATGTTGAAATAATAAAAGAAACGGTAAGAATTACAAACATTTTACTTTTTAGCTAGTCTTTAAATCTCTTGAAAGGGCAGGGGTATCAATCATAAATCATCGCTGAGGGTCATTATTTGATTGACTTTTAAAAGTGAGACCTCCATCAGGCTTTGGTACGTTGTATTGCGGTATTATCCAGTCTCAGTTTGATTTGAAAGGAAATGTTCATTTATTCTAGTTGATAAATCCGCACACTAGAGCGCTCTACTGCTTTCAATCTTGAATGAAATCCATTTTCTCATAGATCCTCAGGTAAATGACACTCTCTGATCCTTTCACTTCTCGCTGCCAACCTTTAAATGGATGTCTGCCCTCCTCTGAGAGGGACCTAACTGAACATTTGTTTGGGAAAGTAACCATCTGCCATGTCCATACCAGACTAATTGCTTGGTTTTGTTATTGTGCGCAGTATCATTCTCAATTCTTATTATCTCTTGCATTTTTTTGTAACAAATATGTTCTCTTCACCAAATTCCTATCAACCTCTGCCGAGAGTCCATATCTGGTGTCCTTGAGATTAATTCAATTCTCTCTCAACTACTAAACCTCAGCACTCTCTCCGTTTGTGAGACACTGCCGTTCAGACCCCATTTTCAATATTCTCCCACTGATTTTCAAGTCATGTACTCGGCACCCTCTTCGTCCTGCACCACAGCCACCTGATCATCAGCTGACCAGGAAATATTAAGTGTCACCATATTCCAGTGGGATGCGCATACCTGCATATCTCCTTCTATTATACTTACATGTTACCTTAAATGATGTTAGTTACAGGCGACATTTTTGCCTCAGTTGCCCTGTTACTAAAAAACTTACAACTAATCCTCTGTGGTATCTAACTCTAGCATAGTACAATGGAATATATTTGACATTGAGCACAACCAAACTTTGAAAAGAACTCTTGAACCAACATGTTCAGCTAGTTACAAGCTAATTTTTGAGTTGATAATTGGAGCACCTTTTCCTCTCAGTTCTAATCTTATTTTCTATTTACTTTTTTAGCGATAGAATAGGACCAAGAGATCCCTAATCATATGCCATGAGCAACTCCGTCAGGCCTTCAAAAGTTTTCAGTAAAACTACGAAAGTCCTTGTTTTTGGTCTTGTAAAGCTGTCATGAACCATGTTTCATTGCTTTAGTCATCCAAGTGTTCAATGTTTTCTATGTTCAAATCTATTACAAATGGTTTTCTTTAATTTTTTCAAAAAAATTGTTTCAGTATCATCATTTGCACAATAATTTACCGCTCAAAGCAGAATTTTTGGGATGGCTCTACCGATCATTAAGTGTTCAAACTGACGATCCAGAGGAAGAGAGGTTAATAAACGAGGGATTGAAATCTCTCAGTCGACTGACAATGAACTTCAGACAGACGTAATTGTAGATATTTTTTCAATTTTTTATTTTTATTTTTATTATTATTGAAATATTGTTACTATTACCATGTTCTTTCGTCTCATTACTTATCGTAGTTATAGTCAACTACACATTTGTTAACACTTTTACCGCCTGATAAAATTCGTCCTTTTATATTTAAGATAGCCTTCTATGGCACCCTCACTCAGGAACTGATTCAGTAAGACTTAGTAAAATTAAGAGAAAAGCCTTTTCTTTTATTTTTTTAAACTTTTGATATTATTGAAACCAGTGATTTGAATCCTAGAATGTTAGCAGTAGACAAGAAAACAATTATTCCTCACTCCAAATTTTCCTAACGAACTCAATTCAATGATACCAGTGTGCTTTTTGTAGACACCTCTTTTAAAAGAGGCGTAGGTACCACAGAGGTAGAGGGTAGGTAGAGGGTATCACAAGTGCTTTATCAATGAGCATTTTGATCAATTCTCAGTTTCCTGTGCATTTTTAATTGGCATTTCGGTCTTTTCAGTTTTCCTTGCATTTTTAATCGGAATTTGGGTCATTTCACAGTTTTCCAGCATCATTTGATGGATAAATGGGTCTGTTACATGCTAAAGATACAGCCAAGTAAAGAGACTTTCTACAGGTAAAATCGCACGAAAGTCATGTTGGACACTTGAAAAAAGTCTGAAATCCACACCTTACCATGCTATCTGCGTAGTTTGTAGCACACGTTTTCAAATTTCCTGTGACTGGGGGCAGATTTCCTTAGCGGCCAGCAATCAGGGTTGCCCAGAGAGAGACTTGTGAAAACGCAATCCAAGTACACTCACAATCTTCGGAACTTTTACAAATTTTCTTTCAGGTTTCAATAATTGATTCAAAGCTTTTTACTCTGCAAAAACAGATGTTAAAAGGAAACAAACACTTGGGAACGACTAAAAAACATACCTATAAAAAAGTTTGCTGTTTTGTTTGTTTATTCGTATTAGGTTTTGTGACCTCACCGTCTTTGCAATTTTGGTTGCCAGTAACTAAAAAAAACAGCCAGCAAAAACTTGAAAAAGTATCTACAAAACACGCAGATTGCACAATAAGGAGTGGATTTCCAACTTTTTTTTGTGCAATTTTACTTGCATAAATTCAATTCAATATGCTGTACCTTTCGCAAGCAGCAGACCCATTATGGTTAGATTAGTGTTTAGTGAAAGATTTTCAAAGCTCTACGCTCCATGACTCCTCTAGAAAGGAAAACTCTGTAATTATCTGTAATTCTCTCACTTCCTCGAGAAATCTTATTTGTTATTGATATGATCAAAAATTTCTGAACTTATGACACTGGTTATGCAATCGATATTGTAATTTTCCTTGCCTTTAATTTTAGTTGGATTTCAAGGCTTATTTGTGCATTACTGATGAAAACCGGTGCTACAAAAATTTCGAATTTTCCTTTCCAGGAATTAAATTTTCTCTGGGCCCAGCACTATTTTGTTGAATTTTATAGTAATAGAATAGATAGCCTTTTTCACCTGTTACTTTTTCACATCCCCAAGTGTTCTAACTTAAATTGTTATTTTGTATCTTCGTAGGTATTCTTATCATGTTTAAGTGCTTTATAGGAGTCCATAAATTTCAGACAGAAGAAAAAGAAATTTAAATTTTAACATTTCCTTCAATTGATTCTCTTGGAAATTTTCTGTGATTCAAAAACTCTTTTAACATAGTTCATTTTACTCACTCAGAGCATGTCTTCGAATAGGCAAATATCTCAAAGAAGTAACTGCATTTTTTACTCTGATTTGAAGTGTTCATTGTACTTAACACATCCACTGCTAATATATATTTGCCAAAATGTGCCTATCTGTTATTTCCATTTTCAATTCAACAAACAACCTGTTCCAAAAGCAATCCGATCAAGTACTTCATGAATCGCATAATAACTTGACGCACTGAAAGCTCAGTGTCGTGGTTTTTTCTGCCCCAGGAATTTGTAGGCTTTGTATTTAAGTACCCAATTGTGTTAATTTTTCTCCTATTCATTGAATGTTTTTGTTTTTTCTCCATAATTGTAAGTGAATATTTGTACTTCCTATAGGTACGAACAACTATTCTATTTTTATAGGTGTAAGTATTGTTTTTGTATATTCGAACGTATTCAAAAAAATTTGTATGTGCTTGTATTGTCAATTTTCATCAGAGATAATTCTTCTGTAATTTTTCGGAAATCTTTGGTGATGTTTTTCACGATGGGGACTTCCTACCTTTTCGACTCTCAACCTTTGATCCGATCAGGAAAATCAAAGACTGCTAATCCTAGGTAGCATCACATAGTATTTTTTTCCACTGGTAAAAACGATCCTCGTCTATTATACCCAAGTGACCTTTTGAATTATGACGGAAGTATGCCAATTCGTTTCAATTGTGCGGAACGTATAAATTCGTATTTTTTCACTTACTTTTTGAACTTGGAAGGTAGAAAAAGTTTTGAAACTCCTTAATCATAGACTCAATTTATTTGAGAATTTCGTAATTGCTTTTCATCTCATTCAAACAGTCAATTTTCAATGCTGTAAAACCTTATATGTAGATTGAACTTGTTGCTATTTATTCTGCTTAAGTTTTTCATGTTTTCTAAATTGTTTATCCCCTATGTACTTGTTATTCATTTTGCTCATAAGCTGTTGTTCTTTGTAATAGTTCCGGTTATCACTATGATTTTATATTATTAATATGTGAAACAGCTTTTAAGCTGGTTTTCTAAATTTCTTTAACAAATTTGTTGTATCATAATCACAACTTTGAAATCTCTGAACCTCTAGTAGGTGGTTTGATCACTGCTCCAATCAATTCTGAATGCTTAGTATCGTTGTCAAAATCATCAACTTACCTTGCGTAAGTGAATGCCATCAAAGAAATGACATAAATTCTCTGCAACTAAATAATCTAATTTTTCTGAATCTGTTTTTTTTTCTCAGGTCTCAACTGTTGAAACTCTAACTTTTAGTAACCAAAGATACATGTTAACAAAATCATTTGTACTACGTACTCTCACATATCATTGTACCCACCAAGAGAATATTTTCTAGAACTATTTCTGCAATTTACTGTCAGGAGCCGTTCACAAAATACGTAACACTCTTAGGGTGGGGTGAGGGTTTGAGGAGAGCTTCGTGCCCTTTTGTTTTCACATGTTCCTTTAGGATAAGACGGGACCAAGACCTACATTCTCCAAAGCATTACGAGGGGAAAGGGGGATTGAGAAATCTGAAATTTATTGTTTTGCATATCATGAACGGCTCCTGTACCTTTCATTGAACAGCCAACCGATAAAATTTGACAACATTGAAGACTGATCATCCCTTCGGATTCTGGATTGTGCCGGGTCCGAAGGAATAAGATGGTTAAACTGTCATATCCACGCACAGATTCGCCACTTTTTCTCATGATCACAAAAAAAAAAAAAAAACTGATCATTTAATTTACTTCTTTTCAAGCAGTATTTGAGCGTCTTACATTTCACATGTCGAGAGTAAGAATTCTCAGGCTAATTTGCTGTAATTGTGTTTAATCAAAGTTTCAAAAGTTCTCTGGTTGGAATACTAATTATACTTAATACTCTAAATAGAAGCGCAAAGGCATTTTGAATAATCATCAAAATAATATTAATTTTAAAGATGTGCAAGGAAAATCTCTGTCGTGTACACTAGGAAGTGTAAAATTGTGTTTTGTAACCAAGGACTTAAAACGAATGTACTGTCTTCATTTTTGTCCTCCTCATTGTTCATTTTTGAGGAATAAGAAATATTTAGTTGTAAAGTCGAAAGTGATGGAGCTTAAAATTCGATTTTGTACTTTTTGCTGTGAGTCAGAGTGAACAACTTTTCATTATTACCTTCACTTCGTAAGATTCATCTCGCAAATGCCAATATCGTTTCTCTTTTCTTGTGGATAAACTGGGAACTTTTCCTGATTTTTCACAAAATTTTTCATAGCCCAAGCAGATTTTAATGGGATTATACCCAGGCCCAAAGAAATTTTGAATGGCTAAATTTCTCCCCAAATCATGAATTGACTAGGCGGGTTCTCACCGTACTTTTTCTTAAAATTTTTCATATTTTCAGAGTTCTTCTCTTTCAAAAAAGTCCTCAGTGAATTTATTGTAGGTATCTCTCTGCATTTTTATCATAATAACTTCTAAAGTGTAAAGTTTTGTAATTAATCATACAAATTCATCAATAATTAGGATATAATTTAATTTCTAAGGGAGGATCCTTTGCAATCAAATTATTCCTTCATTTCTTAGAGTGGCAATCAGTAGTTAAATGGTGCTGATTTTTCATGCCTTCCAGAACACCCGAGTTCAAATTTTTTTCTATTTGTTATACTTAATGTTTCTACTTGAATGTACTTATTCTTAATTAATTAATGTCTTTAGAATTCAGATTGTGTAAACCACTTTTATTCGATAGTAAGCATCTCTGTTTTTTCTTTGCATTTTCCTCTCGTGCCATGAAAAGGAAGAAAAGATGCTATGCTCCAATACATGTTTGTGTATACTTAATATTAGTTACTATCAGTATTTTTCTATTTATTAAATTTTTTAAAGTATCTACGCCTGGACTTACTTTAATTATTTTCTGCCTTTAATTATGAAAAAAAGCTGCTTAGGAAGGTGAAAGTGCTTGGGTCAAAGGATGTTGCACCCAAAGAATTGAAATATCCTTGTCTTCAAAATGTTTAATTGGGTATGATTCAAGAATTTTCGAGATCCCAGTAATTTTTTTATCCCTGTCTGATGCTTTTTTTGAGTTATCGAGCATGGAATGTGCAGGTTTGTTAGTTGGCAAAGCAATTTCAACAAAGACGGGAGATAGTAATGTAGTGTTGAAAACTGAAAAGGAAGAATAAAAGCGTGCTTGTACCTCTAAAACTCGCTTGTTGCCGCTGACTGGGATTACTGCTGCTGTCTTGTCAACTAACCAATACTCGATGGGCTCTAACTGCTCCCACCTTGATCTCTGCCAAGGCAACTCGAAAACGGCATCATTAAAGGGGGATTATCACGGATCTAAGAAGTACTTTATTAGCAATTTATCAAACAAATTCAAGGGGGGGGGGGGGTATCACGGTTTTAAGAAGTATTTGATTACAACTAATCAAAAATAAAAAAAATATTAAATTCATGCTGACTTCCCAATTCCAACATGGATTTCTTTTAAAAATGAATGGTGGATTTTTTAAAAAAATATTCCCTCATTGCAGGAGGTGTAGCAATCTCTCAATCAAGTCTTTAGACTGTTAGGCAACTTGAATTTCTCGCTAATCCACATGCTATCACTCTGCTGATTGGGTTAATGATGTATTGGGATTTGGGCTGAATGATTCAATTAATCGGCCTTTGAGGCCATGCTAGGAAATATCTTTTCTCAATGAAAACGTTACTTGTGTGTCGACTTCTTCATAAAAAAATTAAGTGAAGCAACCACATTACCCACCAATCTACGTACTGCTACATTGCAACCGCACTGTCGAGTATTAGGTTTTTAAATGATACAACTATTCGGCCTTCGCGGTCGCGCTAGGAAGTATCTTTTCATAATGAAGGCGTTTCTAATGCGTTGAGGAATCAAAGAATTCTGTGAAACAGCCGTTACCTATTTCTCGCTTATCCAAGTGCTCAGAACGTTAGTGATCGTGATACGATTTGTATTATGGCAGTTATTACCCCAGTATCTTTCACGGACTCTACTGGAATTTAGAACACATTTTGATAATTTTGACACGGTTTAATGAAATCATAACAGATTTTTATACATAAAAACAATTTCAAAGGTACATTACAACCAATCATTTTTCAAACTCAGCTGCATGTGAAGCAGTAACAAATTATCTAACAGGGCGAATTGCCTAAGCTGTACCTATGTTTCCTCATAATCGTTTGATAGACAAAGTTTGCCATAGCAAAAGAGGAGATACTTACTTAACATTTTAGGGCTGCAAAATTGTTCATCATCAATTATTAAAATTCACAATTTTCCCATATGTATTCCCGAATTGTCATGAAAGCGAACTCAACAGAAGTAAGCCCGAATTTCATAATGTTTAGGTCTGTCACAAACGGAGACTTTTTTTAAGACATAATTTGAAGAATTCCAGTCCTCTCCGATTACCTGCGAAAGTAGAGCACCCTGTCGAATCGAACGAATCGCTGAATCCCTACTTAGTTCGTGCTCCGACAAATTGCGCTACTTGCGCACACAAAACGCCTTCAGAGAGTCGAGTATGTAATGAGCTAAAATCAGCAAGCACAACATATTCTTTAACAATTGCTGCAGACGCAGCTGAAGGCGAATTGTGCAGTTAAAAAAGAAAAAGAGTATGACGGGCAGTCTGCATGTGACAAGAGGGTATGTATTTGATCGACATAAATCGAACGAAACATAAAAACGTGGACCGATTCAAATGGTCAAGTAAATAAAAAAAAACGGGTCAAAAACAGTAGAAAACTTGCATTTACTATGAAAATGTGAAATTAAGATATCTCAAAATTAGGATCAGCCAAGATTTGGATTTTTCACGATTTTGAGTCTTCACGTACCGGAGACTCGAACCCTGCAAACCGTTTTTGGGTACATTTTTTCCGCATTTGGTTTGCTTCAAGACCACTGTGCTGTATAGTGCAGGCGGTCTTACAATTGGACTGCATTTTGCAATTTGGAACTATAAATTCTGGCTCATGTGAAAAAACACTTATGTGCATATAGGGAAACTAATGGCTTATACGTTGCTTTTAAACCGGGCCGGAATTTATAGTTCCTAATTGCAAAATGCAGTCCAATTAGTCGCTGTCCGTCATTCGTCGGATAGAAAAGCTGATCTCTCTCGCATGAAAAATGCCAGCAGTACCTACAATATCTCCTCTTTTACAGCCTTTTTAACGTGGGAAAACAGGAAATTCATAGCATTATGGAACCAGTCCTGATGGTTAATTGTCAAATGAGAAGAGTATATAGGAAATAAATATTTTTTTCAAAATTAAAGAAATACAAGTTTGTACAACTTCAGCTCAAAGTCAATTCAGTGCTTCGGACATTTTAAGTCTCTACCAACAAATTACAATTGATTTTACCTCGAGGTGCCCTCGGAAAATCCGTCAGCACTGTAAATAAATTCATATACCTACCTTTATAGAATTCTCTACAATTTACAATATATGCAATTATAGCTTGTAAAAACGTACAAAAAGTATTCTATCTTACAAAGAAAATACTATCGACACAGTTAGTCAATAATTTAACCAGGTAACTTTCTGATATACTACAACCGATTAAGATTGCCTGGCGGTTTGAACAAATATGAGCTTTCAGCGAGGTCCGTCCGATAAGCGCACCTAGCTTCCTGAGGAAAGGAGCTATTTTAGGGACGGCTATACGACCCTTAATGGTGATATAGGTCAATACGCCCAAACAAATGTCTAGCGTAAAAAATGTCCAATATAAGAAAAGTTAATGAGTAAAAAATGTCCAAGTATCTGGAATGTTCAGTAGGTAGCGGTACCACCGCCAAAATTAAAAATGCCCAAATGTCCGGTTACTGTGAATCATGATTGATATTACCATTTACCTATAAGGAGAAATTCTTCATACTTCCTCATCTCTTTCGTCTTGCGGCTCGTTGCATAATAAGCTATTCTCCTGAGATATTATGGAATACCGTCTTCATCTTTAAATTCTTGATACCTCTGGACGAGCGTGAGGATTCTGTCCTGATCTGATTATACCCTGATTTGCTCTTGACTTCTTTGGAATTTGTTGCCTAGTGCGTGTATGACCCAAGTCCAGTGGCAGGTTAGGAAAACTTTAAATCACCGCATCTTCATTATCCCAATGGTTATTGATATAGAGAGCTTCCAAGCTCCTTATATTGCCACTGAGTCAAATTATTTCACATTTTGACATTTTTGCTTTTGGCCATAATACCGCTATTGGACATTCCAGATATTTGGACTTGTTTTAGATATGGACTTTTTTGACTTTGGACCTTTTTGTACTTTGAACATTTATCAACAGACATTTTGTCTCATTACCCCTTTACTGTCGAGATAATTTTTTCAACCAAGCTCCGACTTTCTATACCTCCATTAGGAGCGAATTATCAAACGGATATCTCCTGAATCTGGACTCGTTTTTTAACGACGGTGGGCGGGGGCCCGGGTCCCTGAGCGGGTCCTGGGCCGGGGGCCACAGAGAGGCTGCTGCAGGTCCGCACCGGGGGACACGGGGTGGGGACCGGGATTGAGATTGGGGCTAGGGCACTTTTGGTGGGGGGCAGCTGTTTGGGCGGCGGCGGCGGTTCCGGGATGGTCGGGCTCTTGGGCTCGCTCATGTATGACGTCATCTTCGAGGAGACCGTGAGGGCGATGCTGTTGAAGCTCTCCGAGGAGCAGTCCCGCCGCCTTTTCCGCCGCTTCCGTTGGTAGTAGATCCCGGCGAAGATGACCAGGTTCAGCAACAGCAGCAGACACCCGACGCCCACAGTGATGCCTGCAACATACCATACCGAATATTTCAATCTGATAGATAGCCGGTAAAATACAACGTGAAAATTGTAAAAAGAAGAAAAAATTCTTGATCATCCTTAGTTTTCAAACACTTACAAGGTTTTACATGTTTTCCTTATACACGGGTTTGTGACGTTAATAGAGGTGTCGTCAGATAAGTTGATCCGGTAATCAAGGATTGCGCGGAGGGTTGAAGAAAATATATGGGACTGCTCGAATAGAAATCCTAACACGCATTGGCGCCTACAAACCTAACAGGGATACTTCACGCATTGCGCAATGCGTGAAGTATCCCTATTAGGTTTGTAGGCGCCAATGCGTGTGTCGCGCTGGCATCCGCTCCGCTCTGTGTTTGGCTCAATATTTGAACTCGCGGAGTCAGCGTTTTTTCAACTCATGATTGCACACTCCGCATGGATTATTCTCATTTATATTGATGAAAAAAAAATGTTTTACAGGAAAATATACTGTGTGTTTAATCGATAATAAGGTGGATCCGTGTCAAATTTAATGAATTTCAAAGCAGTTTAATTTTTTCATTTATACATTGTGTTTTTACTATGTTGCAGCATCGTAAGCGCGCAACCAGACATGCAAAATTGGACGTATTTAACTCTAAAGGATTGATGTTCAAATGGGTTAAAACCAAAGATAGTGCGCTTCTTGGTTTTTTTCCTCGATTTCCTCTGAAATTTTTGCAGTGGTGAATGCATAGCTGAAGTGCGCTTCAGCTAGAATTGTATTTACAAATGGGTGGTTTTTCTACGAGGATTAAAAATAAACGAGTGGTACGGAATATAACACTAGAATATGAACTATGCAAAACGATAATCCGGGTATCGGAACTTTGCTGTTTGGAAAACGCCTTCAAATGCGTTGTGATACCTCACGCATTCCGGAGAGTTAAAATAGTTGTATCATTGCGCCGTATGAATGTGACGGAAGATTACAATTGAAATAGCCTTCATGCACGCTGGGCTTGTCGATTTCCGTTACCATTTTTGTAGTCATGAATGCGCGTAAGTGAGCTTCAGCTGGAATTGTATTTAGCAAATGGGTGGTTTTTATAGGAGGATAATAATTAAACAAGTGGTTAGAAATGGAAACAAAATAATATAAACTATGCAAAACAATAATCCGGGTATGGGAACTTGGCTGTTTTGAAAATGCCTTCAAATGCGGCGTGATACCTCACGCATTCCGGAGAGTTCAACTAGTTGTATCATTGCGCCGTAAGAATGTGACGGAAGATTACAATGGAAATAGCCTTCATGCGGGGAGGATCATCAACATCTGAGCGATTCCCCTCGATCTTATCATGATAGAATCGCGCTTTTATCGCCCGAAAATCTACCGCGATATTTTCGAAATAAATATCGCGATAAATGGCGATTTAATCTCGATTTTAGCTACAAAAATTGATCACGATTTTATCGAACCAAAAATTGCTGTGTGTAGAGATTTAATCGCCATACATCGAAATTTTTAACGCGATGATAGATATCTCGACATATTGCCACCGATATAATTGCGATGACCAACCGATAAAATCGCTATATATCGCGATCGCTGCTACTTGGGTTCTCGACTTTCACTGACGAGATTTCTGAACGCGAGAGCATGTAACTTGATTTCAGGAGCCTGAGAAAATGGCAACAGCTCAGCCCTCTTGAAAGGAAGAGTCGAGCGGTGGAGTTTCTTTTGTTCGGGCGCTTTTCAACTGTACTGGTTAACAATCCAAACCGGAGACTTCTCCCTTTCGCGGTTCCCAGATATAGCAACCTCCGCGAGACTACGCGCCCACCTCCACCGGATAAATCAACCCGGAGGAGGGCAATTTAAACAAGGAATCTGGCACTGTGGGTTTCCTGTGTCTTCATGAACTTGCGCGTCCCGCCCGAAATTGACTGGGAAACTTTGATTTTTGCTCGAGCTTGCTCCTCTTCGGTAAATTCGCTCCCTCTGAGCCTCCCCCTCGTGCTGCTAACACCCGAACCCCTTCGGGACCCCTCGTCGAAACACGGGTCCCTTGTGCCGGAGCACCTTTGTTTTCTTCACCGGGTTGCCGCGCGATCAGAAAAACAAATCGAAAATTCCCTGCAGGGAGAAAAAAACTTCGTGCGTGGGACCCGAAGTTGAGGCCGTATGGATCTCTGAAGTTTCAAGATCACGTATCTAAAAACTTGAGGTCCAGTTGCCGAAGTTCAGGTCAGACATCTGAAGTACTTCGATAAATGGTTCGGGTTACACATCTGAAGTTCTCCGGTACATACCGAAGTGCCTCGATGTCTGACCCGAACTTCGGCAGCTCGACCTCAAGTTTTCGGATGCGTGATCGGAAAACTTCAGAGATCCATGTAACCACAACTTCGGGTCCCACGCACGAAGTTTATATTTTTCCTTCGTGTACATAGGTCGATCCACACGGAGAAAAAAAAAACTTTGTGCATGGGACCCGAAGTTGAGGTCATATGGATCTCTGAAGTTTTTGGATCATGCATCCGAAAACTTGAGGTCCAGCTGCCGAAGTTTGGGTCAGACATCTAGAATACTTCGGTATGTACTGGAATGCTTCATGTGTGACCTCGAGTTAGGTCTGGGTTAAAGTCTGACCTGAACTTCGGCAGCTGGACCTCAAGTTTTCGAATGCGTGATTCGAAAACTTCAAAGATCTATATTACCTCAACTTCGGGTCCCATGCAGGAAGTTTTCTGCTCCGTGAAAGGGCGGCGTTGGCCCCCCCTTCCGTTCGCCCTAAAATAGGGAAGAAGAAAAAATGAAGAAAAAGCGAAGGCATGAACGGAGGAAAGGAGAAGACAGGACGCTAATGTTCGGTACTTATTCATGACGCAATTGACCCGAACTGCATGTAAGATACTTTACAATTTTGAAAATTTTCTGGGAAAGCACCCCGAACCCCCCTTACGCACCCCCGTTCGAGGTGTCTGGATCCACCTTTGCTAAAAAAAATTGCTCAAACTGACTCATTCAGTCGAGTCTCTATCCATTATTTTGCGTAAAGAAAACCCAAAAGTTCTATTAATTAAAACTTTGGAAACATTTCAAAGCAAGAGAACGATAAATCGCGAATTTGAGAAAAGCACAGATGAAGTTTGCCTCAAAAGGGTCATCAAGGGCTAGCCCAAACGAACCAATGCTATGATAAGTCCGTGAATCATGATCCTCTCCGTAATTGTTATATACGGAAGGGATTTGCTTCTTATCGACCTGACTTGTAGATGAAGCAAGATCGTTAGGAAAATTTAAGGAACTTACTGCATTTTATTATATGATAAGTTTACCGAAGATCCATCAAGTTCAGGTAATTTTCTCCGCAGCTCATAATGCTTGACACGGTCAGAAATTCTTCACTTTAATCGCCAATATTTACGATTTTTCCAAAATTACAATGGGGAATTAATTCAAAAATCCACTTCAGTTGCCTTCGACATATCTTGCGTTCGCAAATGGATTTTTGGCGGCAGACTGCCAGCGTGTCGAGACGGGATCGTGTCCGTAATATTAAAAAATTCGCCGGGTAATGAAGGTTGAAAGTGACCTCTCGCACGAAGACATGTCTAGGCCGTTGGTGTGGTATGGACATGAACGTGTGAATAGTGTCGGAGTACCAAACAAGTTTTGGTTTGGGTACCACCTGGAAAAAGGCGACGGGGACGTCCCATGAAGGGATGGCGGCAGGGCGTTGACGAAGAGATGATGCGTTGTCATTTGTCTGATAATATTTGGGCAGATAGGCACATGTCGTCACCTTCCGGCCAAAGTATCACAAGCGCCATGCGACGTTTAAAAATTTCCACGGCTATTTTATTTTTTTACCGAGAAATTGCTCAACGAAGCTGTTCGAAAATTTCACTGAATTTTCTTTGGGCTGCCGATAAAATTCAGTGGAGTTTTCAAACAGATTCAACCAACGATTTCTCTGTAAAAACATAAAATGGCGGCGGAAATTTTGAAATGTCGCTCGGCGCTTGCGATACTTTGGTCGAAAGTGACGATGCGGCATCTGGATGTCACAGGAAGCCGGAATACGTTGCAAGAGTGACTTTCATGTATATAGGGTTATTCAAAAGTCACTCACCACTGGCCATAACTTTAGTTCTAATTATGATATTGATTTGCGGTTTAAGACGTTTTTCCTCATATCGAGGGGGGGGGACTTTTTTAGGTACATTCCAGTTTTTTATCCCCTCGGGGGGGGGGGGGGGGGGGCTGGAGACAACTCAAAAATGTCACTTGGCCACCAGTGGTGCGTGACTTTTGAATAATTCTGTATGCACACCGGGAAGCAAAAAGGAGATATTAAATTTTTCTGTATAAATGTCGTTCCATTGTTGTTTCCGGGTGAAGAGTCTCCCGGAATTTTGTTTCATCAGCGATTCCTCGATGAACGCCGAGCAAAGTGGCAAACCCGGAGGCGGGCAAATTTTTAATTTTCATTAACTCCGAAGTTCCACGCGGGAAACAATCTATTCTCCGACCTCTCAACTTTCGCAGCGACGAGTTGACTCGAATTACCTTGTAATTTAAGTTTCTAAGATTCCGTTTGTCATCATTCAAATCCGACCCCCTCCCCTCCACACTCCCACCGTGCGATTCGCAGAAACACAACCCTCGCTCGTCGTGGGTCCTCATTTACTCACCCCTGACGCCTTTGCGTATGCACAATTGTACAACATGCAAAGTTGTCGGTTTGCACTGTGCACGAAGTTGCCTACTTAACGGAAATATTTTATCACGCGCCGAGTTTCACTTGTGTTTTTTTCCTCTAAATGGGGTATTTGCACACAAAAATGTTATTGCTTCATCTGAGAGTGCCTAATGAGCTGAGTTCGCAGTATTTTTTGTCATTTTTTTACGACTCGGGAAATTGGAGAAAAATAGATTTAAAAGTGAGAAAATTTGCCACCTTATAACGTCATCTGGCGGCATTTCCCATTTAAACACATGGATTTTAGTAGATTA